AGACTGCGTGTTTCTACACCTCAGGGACATCATCAAGGGATTTTGGTCTAAATAGTTACCATGATTAAACTTTAAACATCTTGCTCTAATATAGGCCATATAAATTGGAAACATGAACACTTTCAGTCTCCAGCCATTTTAATACTGTGAATAAAGTGAAGGCTAAGATAGTAATACTGGACTGGGAGTCAGAAGGACTACTACCTTGGATAATTGCTTAAATTCTTAAAATTTTGTTCCCTCATTTCAAACAGGGGCATGACTGTAATTAACATAAATGTATATGAAAGTGCTTTGAACCTGTAAAGTGCTATATAAACAGAGGAGATTACCATATAGGTTCTATTTGATGTGTCAAGAGGTCCTTTCCGGAATCTGGTTGAAGCCTTGTCAGATGGTTAGGTAAAGGGATTCCTTAGTAGAATTTCTTAAATTGGCGTGAAAAGTTTTGGTTCCTGAGTAGCCCAAAGATGGTACTATGAGGAATTCAATGTGCCTTGGTTTTGATCCCAGTGGGCCAGAATGTTTTCTCATTCAGTAGACAGCTACAAATTTGAAGTAGGAACAAAAACAAGAGTCCAGTGACCTTGACAGGATCCTAGACAGTTCATTAAACTTCAGTCATTTGAGATTGTGGAGCATGTTTCAATGCTGTTCTCAGAGATGATGCCATTTTCAGACAGTGTTGACAATTTAAGAACAAAACAAAACACAAAATCCCCCGGTCCAAGTTTACTATGTGTCTCTGAAGACTTTTAACTGCAGAAATGAACTGTACATTTATGGAATAAACTTGGCCTTTGTTATGATAAAATAGCTTCAGTTATTTGGCTTGAAGACTCTTGACTGCACTAAAAAGGGCTGTGCTGAATCTGAGCAGAGTAGAGCAGGAGTGGAGGTAAAGGTCACACCATGATGGCTGAATGCTTCTTGGGTCACAGTGGTCCACTGGAATGGAGTCTTCTTCAGTAGTAAGGTGGTAGGAATCACCATGGACAAAAATCCAGGTACCAGGTCTGCAGGCTGATGGATTAGCAGAAGGAAGGTCATCAGAGGGTCCAGGTGAGCACTCAGCAATCAGGAGGCACAGGACTAAAATGGGCAGGGAAAAACAGGTAAGGTAACAAGCACACAGAATTATAATCACAGGAGGCTAACATTGGGGTGGGGGCTACTGTCAGCGTATCAATTGTCTGATAGGTATTCGTAAGTCTGGTTTACATGGTAATAGAGAAATTACTAGAGGCAGGTCAGCAAAATAGAAAAGCTAGATGAGCAAATACTGATAGCTCTTTAGCAAAGGTAATTTTCTGACTGTCTCAGGAATCAACAAATAGGAAGTACCTTAAAACTCCTACTCTGGGGCAGTAATTTAATTGTTTTCAGGCTGCTGGGCATTAGGTAATAGGGAGGAAAAGTGGTTTTACAACTGGCACAAAAGAAATGAGATTTTAGGTCACACACAATTTTACCCCTACTTTTTCAGTATTGTCCCAATGCTGTCTTATGCTTCTGCCCTCTAACCTTCACTTTAGCAAGTTCTGTCTCAACCTAGACAGTATATGGTCTTGATTGGTCAACATGCTTATCTTCAACAACCCCATTCAACTCTTGATTCCTTTTTGGGTCTTTTTGGTTCCCTAATTATATTTTTGAATATAGAATTAAGAACTAAAGCATGAAAAAATTCATTATATCAAATGAATCCTTTTTATCAAGAGTAATGTTATAATGTAGCAATTATGCTCCCTGCTTTAAAAAAAGGGCTTCATTAGAAGCGGTGGTATGTTTGGGTAAACATGCATAAAACCAAGGCTTTTACTTTCAGCATTTGCTATATGGATAAAGAACATATGCATGCAAATAACTTTTACCAGACTTAGCACATAAAAGATTGAAGTTATCCTAAAGATGTGCTTTTTAAAGGTAAGAGTCACAGGGAAGAGAGCATTTCAGTTGTAAATGAGGAGGGAATGGCAGAGCTGTGCCAGGTGATGGACCACAGAAGGGTGAAAGGAGAATGAACAAAAAAAAAAAAAAAAAAAAAAGCGCAGAAACGGAAAGTAAGGGCATTTTGGTAAATAGCAAGTACCGTAGTTCACTTTGGGTGGAGTGTTGTCAGTCTGCACTGAAGGTCTGGACAGAAATCCAGGTCTTCAAGTTCCCAGTGACAGTGCTGGTGGCAGTGCTTGGTGACTTGTAGCCTCCTTACTCACAGCAAGATCTACAGTTCCAAAATAGAAAACCACAAAACTTCTACCTCCAGAGTTCCTGCCACATCTTGACAAGCTCTTCTGGGTCACAGTTCCAGTTCTTGAAAATCTGGAAACCTGGAGTCCACAGTGGCAGCTACACCGAAAAGTGTATCCGCTCCAACTACTGCAAACACCTCATGAACCTCCAATCCTGGACATCTGTGTTTTGTCATGGAATTTCAAGCTTGTAAGTTCCAGTTGATTTTTCTTTTTCTTTTCTCCTTTCTCCTCAGGAAAGCCTTTTAACACCACAGTCTAAAAGAGTCTTTTGAGGTACATCCAGATTTAATTACAAAAGAACTAAGACCAACACATTTTCTCCAAACAGTCATTTCTCTTGAAGGGAAAGCATCTGTCTCTGGCCCTTTGGTAAAGGGAATAGTCAACTTATTTTTTTAGACTTCTGAATAAAATACCAGAATTGGTACCCTCTAATAATACAAAACACACTTAAATATGTCTGTGTTCACTTGCTTCCAGAGCTGTACCACTTGATAAGCACCACTCCACAAAAACGAAAATGTTTGAAATGCAACTGTTCAAACATTTTTATAGTGTTTGCTGGATAATGGCCTGGAATCTGAGAAAAGCAGCTGACAATTAACAGAGAAATAAACAAAAAAAATGGCACTTAGGCCATTTCAGTCTCACAAGCAATTAGAATACAAGGCTGGCCAGGAAAAAGTTAAAACTTCAAATTTCTTTCAAATGTATTGATTTTGTGGTTTAGCCAGAGTCCAACAAAACTTTTCAGAGACTGTTAACCTTCAATTAATAAGAAGAACCAAACCAAACAAACCAAAGCAAGAAAAAATAACCCCAAACATCGTCAGGAATCCAATGCCTGGCTCAGTCTGTTCCAGGGAGCCCACTTACTAAAAATCCACCTGCACCATTAGCTGGGTTTGGCAGCACCATTTGAAAATACGCCTGTTCACTATCAACCACGCAAACCAGGGATACAAAATAGGAGCAAACGACGGATGTCAATCATGGTCGTAGAAAATAGTCAATGAAAGGAAAGTAGTCAGGCACCAGTACAAGCAGCAGAAAAACAATCCCTGGGCCAAAGATTCCATTTCTTAATACTACAGAACACATTCACTCCTTACTGTAGCTGGTTTACATTGGGTGCCATGGTACCATGTGTATCAGCCACCCTTCAGGCACCCTACGGTGAAAGGAAAGGGCTTAGAAGCCAAGCAGTGAAATGATGTTACCCAAAATAGCCATTATGCATTAAGAAGCAGCTCACATATACCAGGGACTCAAATGGGGGCTTCAAATTGGTTGTGAAGGGTCCCAAACGACATGTAGGCCTCAGTTTCCTCCCGCTGGCATAAAATTGTTTTAAACTCTTCCTGGTCACAGCCCCCTTGGAAAACTTTGCTATTGATGGATACGCTCATTCCACTAGAATGCACTTCCCCACATGTTTCTGCACACGAATTCAAGGAGCCTGCCGATCTCCAACTCCAACAAAAGGTTCCCGGATTTAATTTCAGGGAATGAGCACTTGCTAAGTCTTCTTGCAATTCAAAGAAAAAATACAAACAATAATCATCCTTTATGTAAACTGACGCTTTTGTAAAGCGCTTTCAATCCCATACACACACGGATAGGCAGAGGAGGAAACTGAGGCGCAGACGAATTACAGAGTGACTTGCCTAAGGTCACTCGGCCAGCGGGTGGCTAGGCCCGGAAGCAAACCCAGATCTTCCGACTCCGGGGCTCGAATCCCCACCCCGGAGCTGCCGCCAGAGCTCCCGCTCCCGCACTAAGGTGGCATAAGCAGGAAAAGGCAAAGGAGAAAGCCCACCACCAACCATCCTCCAGCTCCCTCCTGTGCCTCCAACTGGGTCCTAGCAGGCCCGGAAGGGTGGCGCCAGGCCTCCAGGCCGGCCCCGGCCACCCCAGCCTCCCCCGCCGCCTCCCCGGGAGCGGGGCGGAGCAGCTGCCCGCCGCCGCCAACCACCCGGACGACTCCTCGTCGAATCGCAAAAGCATAGGCCGCCGCCCGAGTTCTGCGTACGAGAAGAAAGACGCGGCGCGAGCGCCAACGGCCACCGGGCGCGCGCCGCGGCGGCCGGGCCTGCGCCCCAAGAGCTGGATGCCAGAGCAGGAGAAAGAGCCGCCAACCGATCGCTCGATCGACCGCACGCCCGCTCCTTCGCCCTACCAGACCGGGAAGGGGGGGAGGGCGCGCCAGGGCTTCTTCGAGTTAGGGGCCTGACTCCCCGGCGACAAGACAAGATGGCTCCTCCGCTCTGCGCTGCAGCCACCGTCCCGGCTGCGTCGCTCGGCCCGCCCCCGGTACTGTTTCTTTAAATGGCGGAGAGGGGTCAGGAAAGCAGGAAGAGAGGCGCGCGCCCTCACGTGACGGGGGCGGGCCGGCCCAAGCGGGATCCGGTCACGTGGGGCAAACGCCGCCCGCCAATCAGAAGGCGGGATCTCGGGGCGGGGGGCGGGAAGACTCGCGGCTCTGTGATTGGCCGAAGGCGCGGCGGAGGCCTTGGAGGCACAGGCCGTCGGGAGAGAGCGCGGTGGCTCGCGCTGCGTGCGCTGACGGAGACAAAGCGGTGGCCGAGGCGGCCGTGGCGGCGGCGGCGGCCGAGTCCTCAACGCTGAGTTTCGTGGCGTCCGTCCTGTCGTCATCTGCTCAGGCACGGCGTGTCGCGCGCGCGCGGGCGGCGGCGGCGGAGGCAGCGGCAGCACATGGTTCCAAGCGCGCGCTGCGGTGGTTGAGTTCCAATTCCGCGGGGAGGGACAAAGGCATCTGCGAGCTGCAGGCAACGCCCGGTCGCATCTGGTGGTGCGCTCGCCACTGCCCTCCGTCCTCTGCCTCGGATCTAGCGCCAGCTCCTCCGTCAGGAGCCAGGAGGTGGCCACAAGGACCCAGGCCTGGGAAGGCCTGAGCGCCCGAGGCCGTCTCCTGAAGGGAGTGGGGGAAGGGCGCGCCTGAGGTGATTCGGGGGAGGGCGCATTGTTGCGAGGGATGGTGTTTCTGTGGGCCACCGTGAGTAATTTCACTCGCCAGCTGTGGTGACTGTGGCCAAACAGCAGGCTGTGTGGGGACGGGCGTGGGAAAGAAATCGTCAGTCAGCACCAAGGACCTTCCAGTTGGGAAGCGGTGAAGGGGGAAGCAGCATCCACTCCCCCCGCACTGTCCAGTGGAACACCTGTTTGAGGAGCCTGGTGTCGTCGGTGGTGATGAAGTCTCTGGTGGTAATGACGTAGGTGAGCCGTCAGCTTTATGACAGAAGTAGGCCGTTTCCTGATTCTTTTCAGGAAACTTAGGAGAACAGAGAAGGACTCGAAGAACGTGAAGATGAAGCTGTAATAAACTGCCAACTTTGAAGACCGTACATTGCCGTTCACTTTTGACGCATAGGAATTGCATGAAGAAGCTTGGCCCTCACCTCCCTTAAGGACTGTAGGTTTAGGATGTAGTTCTTTCCAAAATATTACACATAGTCATTGAAATACTTAAATACTTAAATACTTAAATCACTTGCAATTTCAAATATCTGACTATATTTTGGATAGCTATTAGGGAAATTTTATGTATCACTAAGAAGCACAAATTTACCCTGTACTGGACAGAACCCTGGGGAAATCTATTCTGATATATGTACTTCCCTGTTAACGATTAAAGACTGGAGACTCATTGCAGTCATGGCCTTCACCAATTACAGCAGTCTCAACAGAGCTCAACTAACCTTTGAATATCTGCACACAAATTCGTAAGTATCCTGTAGATGCCACTGAGGTAACCAGTAACTCCTCCTTGATGTTAATAAGGAAATCCTTTCTCCAGAAAATTTTGCTTTTTTATTCTTTGGCATGTGTCATTCGAGTGAGATGTATCACTGGATGTCTTGAGCGCTATTGAAGAACTGAGATCAGTGAAATATTTGTTGCTAATCTAGAAGAAAATGATTTTCACTTACTGGATCAAAATTTTCTAAATGCAGACTTTATATGGAGTCAGTATATTGAGTTGTTTCATCCAAGTGTTTAGTAGGAATCCAACATGGGATCGCCAAATTTTGGATCATCTAGTATCAACTGTTGCACATCTTTAGTGATAGCCTAGACAATTGGGTTTATAACAAGTGTTTCTCACAACAACAACAACAAGATGATGATGACATGTAAATGCCCAACTTGGAAGAAGAAAGCTGTTATTTTTCAGCAAACAATTGGTTGTATCTTTTTGGCAAATTGTTAGTCTATCCAATACAGTTTTCATATGCTAAGCAGGAGTAGAGATTTCTTTAAAACCCTTGATTTATATAGTCTTTCCCCAAAATATGTGAAATCACAGAAACATGCTATGTTCATGGTTCTTGAGTAAGTGAAGAAATTAACATTACAATTTAGTGTGGAATAGTTTAGGGCTGTTTATTTACTTGTTTATTTTTAAGACAGGGTCTCTATATAGCCTTGGCTGTCCTGAAACTGACTTTATAGACAAGGTTGACCTGGAACTCAACAGAGATCTGCCTCCCAAGTGCTGGGATTAAAGGAGTGCTCCACCACACCCAGCTAGGGTCAATTCTTAAAACCTTTCATTAAGTTACCCAGCGGAGCAAAAAAAATCTAGTCAAAAACGTTCACCTGTCACTTTTGAGCTCAAAGTGAAGTATCCTGTTGGAGTGCTGGGATGAGGAGTTAATGGAGACCTAAATAAGTAAACGGTGCAGTTAGTGGAAGACCATCTGCAGATTAGAGAGCATGGACTTCAGTTATCCAGTAATAGTGCAGTGATTTCTGGCCTTTTGTGATTCCATAATACTTTAAAAAATCTTTTCTGAGATGGGTAGTGGTGGTGCACGCCTGTAGTCCCAGCACTCTCGGGAGGCAGAAGCAGAAGGATCTCTGCAAGTATGAGGCCAGCCTAGTCTACAGACTGAGTTCCAAAACACCCAGGGCTACAATCTTGTCTCAAAAAACCAAAACAAAAAATCAACACCCCCCCCCCCGAAAAAAACCTGCAATCAACAACAACAACAACAAAACCAAAAAAGCAGGAAAAAAAAAACTTCTGAAAAGGAAGTAATTTCTTTTTCTGAGCAGTGATTTGTCTAATGCTGAGAGGTTTGGTTTTTCATTATTTAGGAAGTGTTTTTTTGTGTGTTTTTTATTGAAGTAGATCAGTTTACAGATGGTACCATAGAGATTACCTAGGTCACTAATTAAGGATTTGGCTACACTCTCAGAGTTACTTGTATTTGAACTACATATTACCAAGCAGGTGGAGGATACTTAAATGTTCATGGCTGATTGTAATGTCAGCACAGGTCAGTTTTGGACTGACAAGACAAATTTGGAATTACAGATTTTCTGAAACTTGGAAGACCTTTGAAGACTGCTTCAAAACCTTCTTGTTCTAAAATCACTACAAACTTTATGCAATAACAGTATCAGCAATTCATTGCTTAAACCTATACATGGACAGTTACTCTTGTTTTGCATTTGAGAAAACTGAGACTAAGAAATTAGGTTGTTTTAAGGCTTACATTGAGGCTGCAGAGGCAAATTAGTGGTACCCAGATTTGGCTATAGTCCTTCGTATTTTTAACCATTATGCAATGCTGACTGTTACCTTGAAGGGTTTGTTTTCTTGTCTGTAAGGCAGAGGACTTAACTTCCCAATTTATAAGTCTTCCATTTTGGTTTATTAAGTTTCTGAGGATTATGCATTATTTCTCCTTTTTTATTGTATGCATTAACAGTATGTGGATACTGCCAAAGCAAAGAAGTAAACTGAGTTCCTTGAATAAGGTGATGTTGGAGAATTTTCTATGAATTTTATGTGTTGAATTGGAACTTTGTGCTTGCTTGAACGTAGGATTGCCATATCATTTGGAAACTCCGGAATTTCTTATCTGGATCGCAGATAAGATCTTTGAAACGATTCTACTTTGAATGTGTCTAGTCTTACCAGAAGAAAATATTAACTGTACAACACCACACACAATGAAGATGTTTTTTCTTTTACTTAGGCCTTTACTGTGTGGCTTGATCCTCATGCCTTAGCCTCTTGAGTGCTGGGATTTCTGGTATGAGCTGCCACCACACTGGGCCTTCAACTTCAATTTTTTTGTTTGTAACTAATTTTAAGAAGGTTTTCTTTTTCTTTCTTTTTTTTTTTTTTTTGGTCATTATGACTTGATTGAAAGTTCATTCTTAAAGAAAACTAAAATTAAAAAAAATTACATGTAATAGTAGAATGGTTCAATAAATCAACTTCAGAGAAGGAAAAGATTGGATTTTGGTACCTTCTTTGTTCTGTTAAAATCTTAAAAATGCCAGACAATTTCAGATGTTATTAACCAGCAATATTAACCATATTTTGAGTTGTGAAATAAACAGCATTTTATTTATTTTCCTTTTTAAGTAGACTTGAAGCAGTGCCCAGGCGAGAGGTGTAGAAATTTTTGTGGTTTTTGTGAAAAGCCTGTATTTAGAAACTTGCAAACCCTGTATTTGAATGCTTATTTTCTGTGCTTATGCACAAGACAGCTTTTTTGAGCCTCAGTTTCTTCATTTGTAAGATGGAGCTAATATGATAGTGTTTGAGGATTATGCCAAATAACAGTCAAGTGGTGTTTATTATTTTCTTTATACTGTTTTATATAGACTAAAACCTTATGCAGCCTGCTCATTGGTGTTAGACATTAGAGAAGTTTTTAAAAAATATTCTTTATGTATAGGAGTGTTTTACTGTATGTGTGCATGTGTACCATGTATATGCCTGATACCCACTGAGTTCAGAAGAGGGCATCAGATTCCCTGTAACTGGAGTTAGGGGCTATTGTGAGCCACCTTGTGGTAACTAGGAATTGAACCTGAGTCTCTCTGCAAGAGCAACATACGCTCTCAACCACTGAGCCATCTTCAGTCCTTAGGCAGATACATTCAGAAGTATATGTTGGAGAGGGCAAATAGGTCTTAACTTTTGTGAAAATTAGATCATATTATACTTGCTATTGATGGTTGGTCATTCTTGGTTATAGCTTCGTCAACGCTGGAAACAGGCTTGCAGATTCTCATGATAGCCTGGGGGGGGGAAATCTAGTTTCTTTTTCTTTTTTCTTTTTTTGGTTTTATGAGACAGGGTTTCTCTATTGTTTTGGAGGCTGTCGGTCCAGCCCTGCCTTGAACTCACAGAGATCCGCCTGCCTCTCCCTCCCGAGTGCTGGGATTAAAGGCATGCGACACCACCGCCCGGCCAGTCTAGTTTCTTTTAATAGTATATGCTGCTTTTTAGGGGTTTATACAGGTTAGGGTTTTCACATTAAAGGAGTTTTAAACTCTTTGGTGGTTGGTTTTATGGCTGCTGTTTTTATAGAAGTGGCTCCTTTGGCATAAGATGCGTATCTTTTTTTAAAGATTTGTATCTTAAGTTATTTCATTTGTTTTGTTATACTTTTATGTAGTCAGGTGATCATAATGCTGAAGTGTAAGGTGACTATTTTTTGTCTGTTAACCCCTGGAACGTTCTGGAACACCTTACCAACTGAGTTATATCCCCAGCCTAGAAACGTCATTTTGTTTTTAAGCCAGAAGAATTTGATCTCTGTTTTTTAAAGTGAATTGATAATTGATAGAACATTCTGATACAATTATACTCATATTCTTAGCTAGTATGCTCTTATTACCATATGCCATGAACAAATTTTTTTGAGATTCATTGACAGGTTAAATACATGTTCATAAGCCAGGCAGTGGTGGTGCATGTCTTTAATCCTACCACTCGGGAGGCAGAGACAGGCAGATCTCCAAGTTCAAGGCCAGTCTGGTCTACAGAGTGAGTTCCAGGCCAGCCAGAGCTACTCAGAGAAACCCTGTCTCGAAAAACCAAAAGAAAAGAAAAGAAAACAAAACAATTCATGTTTAAATAAATGAAAATTATTAAAAATAGAGTTGGCTATTTTATGTTTTTACATACCAGTCTGGAGTGTATAGAAAATTAATTTGTTGTGATTTTCTGACTTACATTAGACAGGAAGATGACTGAAAGCTTGAGAACAAATATTAGATTCAACTAGCAGTAATTGCCCTTCAGATAAACCTTATTGGCTATGATGAGCCACTGCTCAAAGCTACATTCCCCTCTTAATAATTTTGTTTTAAAGATGATCTAGCTGTATAGCCAAGGCTTGCCTAAAACTTGTTTATTGTCCTCTCTTGGCCTTATGGAATTACAGTTGTGTCCTATCATGTCTAGCTGTAGATTGACATTTTTGTCTTCTTGTAGGGATCTAACTTAGGCCTTGATAGGGATCTAACTAGGAAGTGCTCAGGCACTGAGCTACAGTCTCTGTCTCTAGATTGACTTTGGTTGTTTTTGTTGTTTTATTTTGGAGACAGGGTTTCTCTATAACAGCTCCGGCGGTCCTAGAAGTCACTTTGTAGGCCAGGCTGTCCTTAAACTCAGAAATCTGCCTCTGCCTCCCAAGTGCAAGAATGAAAGGTGTATGCCAACAGTCTGGATTGACTTTTATTTTACATTTTCTTTTAACAGTTCACCTTAATTTTCCAACCTGTCTCTCAGTGTCTGTCTGTGTGTCTATGGTGAGGATTAATCTAAGACCTATGCATGATAGACAAACACTGTGCCACACACCTATATTCCTAGCCCTCTTCCTATGCCAGTGGTTCTCAACTTCCCTAATGCTATGATTCTTTAATACAGTTCTTCATGTTGTGGTAACCCTCAACCATAAAATGATTTCTGTTGCTACTTCATAATTGTAACTTTGCTACTGTTTTGAATTGTAATGTAAATATTTTTGGAGATAGAGGCTTATCAAAGGAATTGTGACCCACAGATTGAGAACCACTGCCCTATGCAAATACAGAGTGGAATATACAGAGCATTGTATATCCAATTGATAGTTTGGCAAATTTAAAGTAATAGTTTTGAAATTTACTTAGTTGTTTTTGATAGTATCTTGCTTACATAGTCCAGGCAGGCCTTGAGTTCTTCATCCTCTACTTCTTAAATGATGTCATTACAGGCTCTTAGAATTACAGGCATTGCTACCATAATTGTGAACACTTAAATATTTATAATAGATGACTTTTCGAGGCAAGGTTTCTTTTAGAAGTTTGATTCTTCTATGTGAAGTACTTAACATTTGGATTTTAGCCCAAAGAATTTGAGTTCCGTTCCTTAAATGAATTGGTAATTAAAAAAAAAAAGTCTACGTCTTGCTGCAACATATTTCTTGAGTTAGCAACAGATATATTCACTGATCTCGTGGGAGAATATTTCTTCCTAAAATTCTAGGAAGAGGTAGTTGTACTGTTAAAAGTTTTTAGTAAAAAAGAAAAAATTTTTTGAAGAGTAAGTTCAGTTAGGAGTTTTTAATAAACAAATAGATTACAGTTTGTTTAAAACAATGTGATAAGTGGCCAGAGATCTTAAATGTTATTAGTGTTGTATTTCGATCTAAATGTTTAGAAAATGTCATTTTGATTATTGACTAAAACTGGAAACGCAAGAATAATTTACGAAAGTTGATTATAGTTTGTGTCTGTTGTAACTGTATTTCCTTTAAAAGTCAAGCTGATTTTCTGGATGGTCTGTGTGGACCTACTCTACTTTATATTTAATGAAGACTGTTATAGAAAATTTTGCAAATTAAGAAGGTGTAAATTGAGCACACCTTTTAGCATTTTGCCTGTGTGTGATCTGTACCAGTGAAAAGAGGAAACTCATAGGCTTTTGTGCACCTCGTAAACAAAACTACTTATTTTCAAAGATGGAGATATTACAGATAATTTTAGCTTTCTCAGATGTTGACTAAAACCAGGTCTTTGTCTAGGATCCTTTTTGTAAAAATTCTCCTGCAAGGCTAAGAGTTTGTATAGTTTTCTGGGTATACAGGGCAAATTAACTTTTTAAGTAGAGGTTTCAGTGGTTACCTTCTGGAAGCTTCTGAAGGTTTGTGTTTAGTGAACATACCTGTCATATTATTCAGACCTTAAGATATTTGCTTATAAGATGTATGTTTATAATTCCTCCAGTGTAGAAACTGACATCTGATTAAATCAATGAAAGAAAAATACAGACTTTTTTTTTCTAGGCAGGCCATCATTACTTTTAATAGTACATATTGTAGAAATTTAAAGATTCTTTAGGGTGGGTTTTTCATACAAATAGGAAGAATAAACATTTCTGAGTAAATGACAGGACTTGATTTGTGGGGAATTAGATCTAGAAAAGCTTGTGTTACAAAAAAGTTTACATTTAGTTGTTACAACAGTAATATGCATGAGGATTTTAGATGTTTTCTAACCCTTTTAATGTTTATAATCTTAAGACTCATAGTTCACTTCATAATCCTTTTGATGACTCTTAAAATTTATTATTTCAGAACCACTCATGAATTCTTGTTTGGTGCTCTTGCTGAACTGGTTGACAATGCAAGGTAGGTAGTCTTCCAGCCTGTAATTGCTTGCAGTGGGAACTTCCTGGATCACCATGACCTTTGCTCTCTGATGACTTGAGAGAAAGATGTTTTTGTTGCATTTGTTACAACTCCTAAGAGACTTGTTAGTAAGAAATATTTTTATTATCACAGTAATTGACAATTTCCTTGACTACCTTAAATTCATCCATTGCTCTTTGTGTTCCAGCCTAAAGATAGGAAACTTACTCCTTCCAAACCACCTTCCCTTGTGTATCAAAGCGTGATAATTGTGGAAAGTAGGGAATTAAGATAGGAACGTAAGAGTCACACTAATGGGATACATAGGTTATAGTATTAATTTGTGCTGCAAAGACACTGTACCACTGAATGTTTTTAAAACTAGACCAGACTTTTGCATCTTCTCCCAAATACATATTTTATTGCAAGTGAATACTCTTTAATCAGTATCGTCCATTATGAGTTTTGTTTGGGTTTTGTTTTTTTGTTTGTTTGTTGTTGTGAGACAGGACCTCACTGTGTAACTTTGGTACTCACTGTGTAGACCAGACTGATGTTGAATTTACAGAGATCCTCTGGTCTCTGCCTCTCTTGTGCTGTGTGCTATGTGCTACTATGCCTGGTCTAGTGTCTTCCATTGTTAGCAGCAATGTTTGGAAGCAATCATGTTTCAGCACTCTCGTGTTGTGTTTTTAGTGTTGGAAGAATGTATGTATTTACTTGTAAGACCAAGTAAAAGTAAAAATTCTATTTATATTTATATTAAGAAAATTTTGGTTTTATTCAGATATTTATTGACTAGTGTTGATAACTAATGAAGGAAGAAGAGGGCAGGAGTTGATAGTAGAATTTGAAACTTCCTCAGTTCATGAATTTACTTGCAATTTCTAATGTTTGTACAGATGACTTATACTGTTAGTACTTTTTGTTTGTGTTTTTGAGACAGACCTTACTAATGTCTCAGTCTCTTGAGTATTGGCATTATAGATTTATGTTAATATACTTGACTTTTATTATTGCTTTTATTACTATATGCTTGTTACCTGTTCATGAAAATCTACTAGATGATACATTGTTTCCTATAAAATTTCCATTCTTTCTCTTTGTCTGTAGTTGATAAATTATACTAATATAATTCCAGGCCTTTAAAGAAGTTATTATTTGTGATCAAATTTGTATGATTTCAACTGATTGCTGAAATCTAAAGAGATTTCTTTCAAGATTAGGGAACATGAGATTATGGGCTCAGGAATTGATTTGTACATTATGGTGCTTATGCCTAATTTTTTTATAGGTTTATAATGGATTTTACCTTTTCAAATGTTGGTAAGAAGGAAAAATAGACAAGTTGGAATACCTTTTTATGATTTCAGTAAAGTGAGTAAAGAGACAAATATTTGATCTCTTTTTGTGTGTATAAAGGGAAATGTTCTGTGTTGTAGGAGTGGCTGCCATTCAAATTTGAGAATCTGAGTCCCCAGCACTCATAAAAGCCTGACCTGAGAGTGCAAGCTTGTAATTTTGTCTGTAGTTGATAAAATGCTGAGGATAGGAAAGGAGACAAGAAAATTCCTGGTATTTGTTGGCTAGCCAGTTAAGCTGAATCTTCAGGGTCCAGGTTCAGTAAACATAAGGTAGAAGGTCCAGCCAGATGGCTCATTGGTCTCCTGCTAAGCTGATGACCATTTTGAACATACATAGTAGAAGGAGAGAACCAACTCTTCCAAATTGTCCTCTGGACGCATATGCTTCATGACTATGTACACTAGCATACGATACATTAAGTAAATGGAAAAAGAAGAAAAACTGGAGAGCAATGTTAATCTTTGGTTTCTGCATGCATACTTGCCCAGGTACACTCATACATATATGAACATGTACATGTACACACAAAAAGCAACATTCTTATTGAACCTTGAACAATTTTTATAGTGAAGCCATTATTTAAAGGGAGGTTGAACATGTAGCTCAGTTTGTAGAATATGTACCTAAGATGCACAAATCCTACATTCCATTCCTAGCAGTGTGTAAACTGAGTATGGTGGTTCACACTTGTATTCCCTGTGTTTAGGAGGTATAAGCAGGATGATCTGAAGTTCAAGGTCATCCATGGCTACGTAGTGAGTATGGAGATAACAGGATGTATAACACTCCTAGAACTATTATTCAAAACTATGTGTCATGTGTCTTAATAAATTTGGAGTGCTTGAATGTCAGAGAAATTGTGTGGTCAAGTATAAAAACAAAACTTTAATATATAGTTTTTTCACAGCTTGAACAATTAAAAGTAATATGTGTTGCACTTAAAATACTATGCATTTTGCTGATTGATAATTCATATTCTCATTTGTATCTCAGATTTTTTCCTTTAATTTTGCAGAGATGCTGATGCCACCAGAATAGACATTTATGCTGGTAAGCCAGAGTTTAGACTTTCTATTGTCTAAGAAGTGAGTGGGAGCCTGGAGATAGCAGAATTTCTTCATGCTATAGGTAGAAAGGGGCAGCTCTGATCACATAAGTCTTAGAACCCAGAATCTTGAAGAGGGTGGTGGAACAGAGCAGTGGGAAGTAAAATGATCCAGTATTAGTCATCTTTTTGAGAAGGCAAGATCTTGTTGGAATTAATCCTTCCCTACACCTGGTAGCAGAGGTTCTACCCTGGAAAGTTGCTAGTGTCAATTGCAGAAAATAGCTGGTAATTAATTTGTAGAGATGTTGAGACCATGTGTTAATCAGGGTTCTCTAGAGTAACAGAACTTATAGAATGGATCTCTATATATATTTAGAAAAGGATTTTTTTAGAGTGACTTACAGGCTGCTTATCTAACAATGGCTGGCTGTGAATGGAAAGTTCAAGAATCCAGTAGTTGGTCAGTTCGCAAGACTGCACGTCTCAGCTAGTCTTCATTGTGTGCTGGAATCCCAAAGAAGTAGGCTCTAATGGCAGTGAAGGAATGGATGTGTTAGCAAGATGAGAGCAAGCAGGCAAAGAGCAAAAGCTTCCATCGTCCATGTCCTTCTATGGGCTACAGCAGAAAGTGTGGCCAGATTAAAGGTGGATCTTCCTGCCTTGAGATCCATATCAAGGCATGTGTCTTCCTTCCTCAGAGGTCCAGACAAGAAGTGAATCCACCACTTCAAACTGAGCAGAAAATATTCTCACAGGTTTGCCCTTCATTTCTGGATTCCAGTTAATTCCAGATGTAGTTGACTTGACAACCAAGAATAACCATCACAAGTTCACCCCTTGTCAACTCGACACACAGTCTTATCTCTTTATGTTGTGATTAGTTCTAAATGAAAGCAATAACCAGGTCATAGTAATGCCTAAATATAATTATCCCACATGCAATTATAAACACATTATATATTTAACCAGGTCATAATTATGCCTAACATGATATAACTATCCCTTGTATAACCACAAATGCATTATAAATTTAGAATAGGTGGCAATGTCCCTCGGGAGACTTTCTTTTAGTTTGTCAAACCTAAATATGATAACCATTGGTGTTCTCGTAATTGATGTTACATCTCATGATAAGGTAATTAAAAGAAAACACAAATATCTGTACAAATGCATTTTTAAAAAAATACCATATTCATGTCAGCTATAATCCTTGTTTCTGTAACTGGTCTTAGCTGGTATTTATAACTACTTTTCCTCTACTACCCATTCTGTATTTCCTCCACCCTTGGTAAGCACCTCAGCAGGTCTTGTTTCTTTTCCTGGAGGAGGAAAGGCAGGAAAGAATAAGTGTCTACTCCAGTAAGAACAAGTGTTCTTTCCATGGAGGATATGGTTCATTGTAGTCAATTTGCCACCAGGTCACTCTCTGGTCACCCTGGGGAATGGTTCCTTATCTGGAGCTCAGTGTTTGTCTCTGCTACTAGCATATCTGGGTGCTCAGTACTAGCTGTAGCCAGGTCACTTGGTGAATTGCAGTCCATGTTGTTGAGCCCATGCATAACCCCTATCTCTGCCACTATGACCACTTTGTTCATGGGTCCCATTAATCAGTGACAGAAATGGCTGGAAAAAGAGGCTGACTGTCCACAGAATGAGTCATCCAGTCTACTTGATTATTGAGCTTTTCAGCAGAGGTTACCTTTTGATGAGCATTTATATGGGACACAAGTATCTTCACATTCTTTGCCCATTTGGAGAGATCTATCCAATACTTCTTCCCCAGATGTCTTTCTCACCAATTTTCCAATCATGTTGTTTCGAAGTCCCTGACCATGTAGCCAGTCCATTGGCTACAGCCCATGAGTCAGCCATTTCTCCTTCAGAGAAAGTCACTGCTGATTTAGCAGACAGTGAAGAATGAAGGATTAATTTCCTCAGTCAAAAGTGAAAAAAACAACATTTTTTCACGGGGTGGGGCTGAGGGTACTACCTCCTCAGGTGAGAAAACCCCTTGAGAATCCAAGGATTCAACATTCTCGGCTTCAGTAGATTCCTCCCACACATTACTCCTACTCCAAGTTACAGAATCCCATTCTTTACCAACTAATGCCCTTACTTTAACTGTGGACCCCACCTGAGACTGGGACTTGAATTTTCTCTCTAATTCAGCAAGCCTTATAATGAGGGCTTTGGTTTGATTTTCTGCAACTTCAGCTCTATGGCTGCTGGAGAGAAGATTCTCTTCTGGGGCATGCTTAGAAACTTTGATTGTTTATGTGCATCTGTAGCTGGTAGGTTTTTAAAAATTATTTATTTTGTGTGTGCACTGGTGTTTTGCCTGCATGTAACTCTGTGTGAGGGCAGTGGATCCTGGAGTTACAGATAGTTGTAAGATGTCATGTGGGTGCTGGGAATTGAACACGGGTCCTCTGGAAAGAGCAGTCAGTGCTCTTAACCACTTAGCCATGTTTCCAACCCCAGAACTGGTAGGTTTTATCACTCTTTTTTGTTGTCCTCCGTATTCTGAGATGCCAGAAGTTGGTTGACTACTTTTTTTTTTTTATCACAGAGCTCATCCCTATCCTTTTCTTTATTTTTCCCCACTGTCTAAAGTTTCACATACAGAGTCACCAAATCCCTTCCCACTCACAATTGGTGAATCAGGATAATCTAATGCATTTATTTCATCATATGGTTCACACCATGGTCTTTCAGTACTCTCTGAATTCCCAGGAGAGGCAATAAGTGAGGAGACTTCAGTAACTGTAGGTATTGGCAAATTGAAAATCTTGTTACAGTCACTTAAAAGGATTCATCCTTGTACTTCAGTTCTAGAGCCAGTTTTGGTACTAAAATTTGTATTCAAGGTTCTCTAGAGTAACAGAACTTATAGAATGAATCTCTGTGTATAGAAAGGGAATTTATTAGAATGACTTACAGGCTTCAGTGCAGCTAATCCAACAGTGGCTGGCTGTGAATGGAAAGTTCAAGAATCAGTAGTTGGTCAGTTCGCAAGACTGTATCTCAGATAGTCTTCAGTGTGTGCTGGAATCCCAAAGAAGTAGGTTCTAATGACAGTGAAGTGCTAGCAAGGTGAGAGCAAGCAGGCAAAGACAAAAGCTTCCATCGTCCATGTCCTTCTATTGGCTACAGCAGAAAGTGTGGCCAGATTAAAGGTGGATCCAGATCAAGGCATATGTCTTCCTTCCTCAGAGGCCCAGACAAGAAGTGAATCCACCCACTTCAAACCAAGCAAAAAATATTCTCACAGATCTGCCCTTCATTTCTGGATTCCAATTAATTCCAGATGTAGTCGACTTGATAACCAAGAATAACCATCACAGACCATCTCTTTGAAATGTTAGGCTTAAAAGTGGATGCTGTGGGAGCCTCCACTGTTTTGCTTAATTGGCTCTACTGTTATAGTATAAGGTCATCTTTGTCCTAGAGTTATGGTACCAGTGAGTTTTTAGTTATTGCCATTGATCTTTTATTTCCTTTTTAAAAGTTTGTTTTCTGTCTGTTCAATCAATACCTTTTCATCATTTTGATACTAAAAAACTTGAACAATGGAGAAGACCATTCTTAAACCCAATTTGGCTAATGTGATATATTTTGACATTCTTTTCTGAAATCTGAAAGATTTTTTGATCATATTTTGAGCAACATGCCTAGCTTTTGAAAGTCTTTGTTTATGTGGAATATACAGTTATTAGATATCCCTCTTCATAAAATCATTTGATAAATGGGAATAAATATAGACCCCTTAGTGTTAAATTGTGAGGAAGACTCTAGATAAGACGAAGTACTTAGGCTAAATTTTTTTGGAGTAAAGGAAAAAAGGCATTCATAACCCCTACATATCAGCTCTCCTGCCAAAATTCTGAAAGCCTTCTGTTGAAAAGGCTGCCAAAGTGGTAGAAATACTTTGAAGCTGTTGTTTTGGGAGTTTTAGACAGGGCCATACTATGTAACTTTCTAGACTTAGAAGAAATGAAAGTAGTATTGTAAGAGACTTCAAGATGATGATTGCTAAATCTCCTAGATGGTGCCACCTTTCCAAGCCATAGCTGAGTGTGCATGCAGGAGTGCTGACAGTTACCTCTCAAAGAAACCACGACTATTCAAACCATTACCCAGAAGATAAAGAAAAATGACTGTCTACTTCAAATGATGTTGAAGGAACACATCCTCATAGTTGAGTCTTTGTAAGAAGCTATAAGAAAAGATCATCTTTGTTCCCTTCTACCATCTTCATTGGGTAAATTTTAGCAAGGAAATTTAGGAAAATTAGATTATAAATGGAGTGTTCAGTGTGCTTTCTATTTGCTTTGGGGAAAGTTCAGAGGGTGAGATGAGGCCTTTGCTCTAAGAAGCTAATTTCTAATTAAGAAGTGGCACACTGCAAGTGGTTACAGATAGATAACTAGACTTTGAAGGAACAGTCAAAACAGTAAGAAGCTGGATATTGTAGTACATGCTCAGGAATAGAGGCAAGAGAATCAGTTCAATCATCTCTGTTGCTTGGGGAGTTCAAGGCCAACCTGGGCTCTATAGTTTTACAATATTTTAAACTGGATGAAAAAACTTTAAAAAAGATTCCCTCCACCCCCTTGTCCCCTTATGTGTGTGTGTGCCCCACATGTGGGGGTTCACATTGGAGGCAAGAAGAAAGCATTAGATCCTCTAGAGCTGAAGTTATGGGCCACCCAATATGGTTTCTGGGAACAGAACTTGCGTCTTCTGCAAGAGCTTTATTCTGAATCTCTGAATCATCTCTCTAGCCCCATTTGAAAAACAAAAATAAAAAATGCAACCAAAAATCCAAGGAGACCTTTGAGATAAATCGTTGAATTAGGGGAACTTGAACCCACAGTTGAAGTGATAACTGTGTTGAAATAGCCTAGCAACCTTACCCTAACACAAAGGCCTAGAAAGTAATTTCCTGGGTATTTTTCAAGGAATTTCAGTGGTACTTTTCAAATGCATTTGGCTCAAAACAATTTTTAGATCCCAAATCTTCATATAATTCTGTGGCATAGCATACAGCAAGTATCTCTGGGCAGGTGCTAGGACACTGCTGCCATCATGCTCTGTACCTCACCCAGTTTGAGTCTCCATGTGTTTCTTATGGATGGAAACAAAACTTTTAATACTTTAAAAACAAGAACAAAAAACCTTGTTCCTGCTTGCCACATTTCACTTGGATTACCTAGATCTTGATAAGTGGTACTTCCTTAGGGAGAAATGTTCTCATGTACTAGGATCTTCCAGGAAGAACCTCACTCTGGAACTTTGAGGAGACATTTGTAATGAAGTGTCAGCCTCTTGAATATTGAGAGATACTTAAAAATCTCTGTGGTTTATGGTCCATCTAAAATAGTATTTTAATCTACATTAGTTTGTCTATTTAGTAGAAGGCAGTTATGACTCACTTAGTTTTACCCTGAGGGAAAACAAAGCATTTAAAACAGATTTGTCAGGATAGATAATTGTACAAAGTGAACTGAAGCTTAGATTCTCCTCTAGGGATTAGGGTTCTTTGGGACTCACTCTAGATTATTTTATACTGACTTTCTTCTTTTTAATAGACAAGTTACTTTTATTCTTGTGCTGAGTAGTGGACCATGAATAGCATGGGGAGGTTGATGTAAGTGGTTATTTATATGGTTTATTTGGGTCCCCTGCTTCAGTTTCTGCCTCACTCTCTTCTGTTTTATATCTATATATCTGTTCTAAGACTAGCTTTGCCATTGTTTACATAGTCTTCATTGAATTAAAAGGCACCTTGAAAATTAGTATAGCCTTTTTCCTCATTTGATAATCTTTTCTATTGTTACTGCCTGCTGTGAGTTGGCATTTGGTCCTGCATAACACAGCTACTAAGATTTCTTCATGTACTTACTGAAATGGCAGCCACAGTCTGTTGTGTCCCCCTCCTGTTGACTAGGAAGCTCTGCCCCAGCTGTGCTATATCTTATTGCGAGAGGACTGTAATTCTGATCAGGCAGGTCTATCCCAGAACTAAGAACCATTGCTGCATCTTGTGCCATTTCGCTTCTTTTTAGGAGGGGATATGACAGTGAATACAGATAGCTCACAATTTCCATTTAGTCTAGAGGTGATCATGTATAAACATAGTAATTAATCTTTTAGGTATCAGCTGCCAACATTGAGTTTATACTACTACATCTGGCATCATTTGAATGATACCTCAGGTTAAATCACAAAGGAAGGTACCCTGTTGAATTTGAACAGCTGATAAGGTGTAGTACAAAATAGACTACTTAAATGATTTGGGATCCGTGGCGTTGGGCAGATGTAATAGTAAATCATAAGGTATGATATATAAGAAAAAAAGATATATAAAAGATATGCATATTCAGTGGTCTTGAATGTTAAGTACTGATCTCTTCTAGTAGATTATCTGAAGACTTGTGAAAAAAGCACTAGAGAAGCTTCACATCTTCAAGGACTCTGAAGTTTAACTCATGCTGGCTTAAAACTATTAGATGAAACTAGACTTGACGTAACCCTTTTGTACCAGGCTTTACTTTGATTCACCTTCTGTACCCAGGTTGCCACCCCGTAAGTAGTAACAGCCCAGTAATGGCAACTGTTTGTTTTACAGAGAGACGAGAAGACCTTCGAGGAGGATTTATGCTTTGCTTTTTGGATGATGGAGCAGGAATGGATCCGAGTAAGTTGTTTATGATTGTTTCTTTTGAGCTTAACAATTTACTATTAAAGTTGCTTTTCTGTGGCCTCACTGTTGTGGCTGGAAGATCCACCTGGGGAATAAGAAGCCTGTTGCAACATCTCAGGCTTAATTACACTGTGTTTGCCAGGTCTTGTCCTAACATAGGAGATGTTTAGACAACACGAATGTCAAGCTGAAATCAGTTTGGTTACCTGTCTCCCAACAATGTATTTATCAGCTTGACCAACATCCTGGAGCCATAACTAATGAGGCTTCTTTCCCTGAGACTGTTTACCATGTTCTAGTAACAACACAGGTCACTGTGGTGGTATTGATGGACTAAGGAAGGATTACCCTCCTGTACCTCATGACTGAATGTCTTTGGAGAGAGGTTTTGCTGGCACGGAGCCATGCTTGTGTTTAACATGACTCATATCTCTTAACTTTGAGAAGGCTGGGGGGGAAATGCTAACTTTTTACTTTCTCTTTTCTACCACTTGAGGTGATGCTGCCAGCGTGATCCAGTTTGGGAAGTCAGCCAAACGAACTCCTGAGTCCACACAAATTGGGCAGTATGGCAATGGATTAAAATCGTACGTATACTGAAAGCCTGTTGTAGGGCTGGGTACAAAATCACATGATATGTTCTTGCTGTTCATCTTTTTGTCCCTCCAGGACTATAACTCTGGAGCAGTAGGAGAGTCAGAAAGATATGATGATCGGGGGTAGTTTACCAACTGTCTAGCTGAGTTTTCCCAGTAGATTGAGTAGTATGAATATCTAAAACATTGTTCTCTAGAACTGTCTTTTTCTTCTTATTGAATGATATTTTTATCTCGTGTTTAAGAATATGGGTGGCTCGTGGTGCACGCCTTTAATCCCAGCACTCGGGAGGCAGAGGCAGGCGGATCTCTGTGAGTTCGAGACCAGCCTGGACTACCAAGCGAGTTCCAGGACAGCCTCCAAAGCCACAGAGAAACCCTGTCTCAAAAAAACCAAAAAAAAAAAAAAAAAAAAAAAGAATATGGGTGGTTCTATTCTGGGCCTGGGGCGTATCTGAGATGGCAAAGGAGTCATTTCACAATGTATCAGTATGCTTGTTCCAGACACTGGGGATCCAGAGTGAATAAAAGAAACACAGTTGCCTGGAGTACCCTATGTGGACCTTCTGTAAGGCCATATAGCAGGAGACCCATCTTATACCTTCAGTCTATTGGGATTAATCCCTTAGGTCTTGGTTACCACTTGTTTAGTGCTTAGAATGTGTTTTGTTTTGAATGAAGAGAAAGGTTTCTATTTCTGAAATGCTCACTTCCAGCTGTGCATACCTTTGGATGGAATAAGATTTAGTGGAATTGGAGTTTGTGCAAATGGAATTATGAGTCATGTTCTAGTTTTGCTGTGGAAACGTGTTTTTTTATTTGAGAAAGGGTGGTGGTTTGATCTGTCAACAGTCTTGATTGGACCTCATGTGCATTGTGCTTCAGGTGAGAAGAGAGTGCTTCCAAAGAAACTTGGAGCCTGGTCCTGGGCTTTGATTTCTTCTCAGGGCAGGAACCAAATAATAATAATAAACATTGCCCATGTGCTAAAAACTTTGTATGGATGATATCATTTAAACTACACTTTAGCCTATGATAGGTAGGTTTTGTTAACATTCTCAAATGAAGAAGTTGGGATATACAGGAGTGAAGTGACTTGCCTAATGGTATAAAGGTATTTATGTGAAGAGTAAATATATGAACCAGGTCTTTCTGATTAAAAAATGGGGGTGAGTGTCCATTGCACTTTGGTCTAAGTTCAGATCTCAATCTAGCCATTTAATCACTAGAGTTGGGGCTTCTTGAAAATTGATCCTATTTGCAAAGTATGATCAAAGCTTTGAGAGTCCCTAGTCTGTGATCACAGTGGGAACCTTCCCTAGAGAATTCTGAAAAGGTAATCTAAGACCTGTAAAAACCAAAGTCTCCAATAGAGCCAATTCCTGTCTAGTCCTATCAGTTCTGCAGACCCAGCTTTACCTCTCTGATGGTTTCCTAACCTAGAAAATGAGGTTCTAACTTCTGATATTCTCAGAAACCAGTAAAATGTGACTCAAAAAGTACTTAGAATCCTGAGCAGAAACGGTATAGGGCTAGAATGTGGTTGTCAACAAGTTTAGGAGGCTTTTATGAAGAGCCTGTTGAACTGGAGCCATCTAGTGTTCAAAGTTCAGAAGTTATATGAGGTAATTTGTGGTGAGCATAGGGTATAGCAAAGAAGTTGGTGTTTTGGAGTTTCTGCTAACCAGACCCTGTAGTCAGGGACAAAAAACAGAAGCCAAAAAAAGATGTATAAAGAAAGTCTTGCCAAATTTGAGTAAGGGCAATGCTGTCCACAAGCCTCAGGAAAAAGATTTAAGAGAAAGGAACCCTGTCTTCAGGAAAATGAGAATTGATAGCCCTCAGGGTATCTGTGTAGTGTCTTGGGAGTTTTCCTGAGTGCTTGGGAAATGGGACATGGCATTCATTTGTGTGCCTGCTATGCCATTCTGGATTGTATATAGAAATTAATGAGGCTTCCTACCATTGTCTTCTCCCAGGGGTATTGTAAGGACTAATGAGATAATAGCTATAAAGCCAAGAAGCTACTCAGAAAAAAGGAGCTAAACAGCCTCACTGTTGAGTGGATAGTTCTTCTACTGCCGTTTCATACTTCTGCCCTGTCCTGTGTTGTCTGGAAAAGCCTGTCTTTGCCTGTTCCATAGGGGATTAACATGGCCAAACAGGAAGGAAGCCATTGATTCCATTTAGACGTTCAGTTTTGTTTTCCATTGATTCTGGGGATTGAGCCCAGGCCCTTGCACATGCTAGGCAAGTGCTCTTCTTCTCTGCTGTATGCCAAGCTCCAAACTGCCTTGTAGAAGACAAGCTCAAGGCTGTATCAGAATTAGCTCAAAGTAGCAAAGCAATTCTGAGACTGAGAATGTCTAGAGTTACTGGACATAGATATAGGCCTCCTTGAACTAAGTTCAGAGATCAAATTTTGAGCTGGGCCTGATTGCTTGATCAAAAATAAGTCGTGTTTTGATAAATGTTGCATTCGTGCTGGTTTTTGAAAGACTTGTGAGACTGTCTTTTGACTCTTCTCTTGACAGTGGACAGGAGGGGATTCTGTGTTAGTGAAAGGACAGGATAGGAACAGGATGTTGCTCAAAAAGAAGATGTGTTCAAGGTGTCTACTACTAGAGTTAAACTCGACGGTGTCATAGAGGACCCCTTGAACCTAGAGCTCAAGCAGGTTCACTTGTTATGGCTGTGACAGTAAGCTGGGAGAGAAACTAACCTGGGGCTTGTGGTCTGAGTAAATATATTCTTGGAGGATGGTGAGAAACCCTTGTATGGAAGGGAAGTTTGCTCAAGGAGGCTATAGGTTATAGACTAAGGAATTAGAGACTATTAGGAGGGGACAAGGGCTGTGGGACTCCCCAGGACTGGGGTGTTGGTGGCCTTGAGGAGAGCCCTCTGGTCATGCTCAGTTGTGCCCAGAATGTGTTCTCCATTTTCAGATGAGCTTTGAGTCCTTGGGAAAATGATCTGTTTCCTGTTTCCCTTTCAGGGGCTCAATGCGCATTGGGAAGGATTTTATCCTCTTCACTAAGAAGGAAGACACCATGACCTGCCTCTTCCTGTCTCGTACCTTTCATGAGGAAGAAGGCATTGATGAAGTAGGTTTTATCCTTGTGGCTTGAGTTGCCACATGCCATTTACTGGATTTATCTATGGTTCTGAACTCCTTGGAGTTGTAAAATTGGAGCACTTTCCTGCTCTTATGGGTTGAGATGGGTGGGATGTATATGTTGGAAGGTGGTAAGGCAGATAATACTTTTATGACAGGGGAAGTGATATCTCAAAGTACTTCAGAGAACAGCTGTTCTGTTTCTGAGAATGAGACTAGAGCATGAGGTGGGGATCTGGGATGAGTAGAAAGAAATTCATAGCTGTTCCATAAGTAGATTATCCAATTGAGAATTTCAATCTATTCTGTGTTGGTTAGCAGTGATTGAATTTGTTGAGATCTGAGCATAGATTTGTGGTAAACTAACTGAAGTTAAAACTGGTACCTTTTCCTACCATTTTTATTTATCCACTCAGTTGTTTTGTTCATCTACTAGATGCTATTTGTTACCCTATTCAGCATATTTGGAGAGAGATACACAGAGGCTATAACTTCTAGAAGATAGGACAGGAGACAGCCTGGGCCGAGATATTCAGAAATGTTGCCTGGTGAAGGAGTCTTGAGTCAGTGAGAACATCCTTCTTAAGCTCCTGAGGTTAGTGCTAGGGAGAGAAGTGGTCTTTGGAGAACAGAGTGTGACCAGGTTGGGCTAATGCTCAGGGCCTTGTTTGAGTGAATGGGATTTTAATCAAGCAGTTCCTAGTATGATTATTAGAGCGGTAAAGGAAAGGATGAAAGAGACCTGTGAGTTCTGTGTGGCAGTTGGAGATAATGGGCCATTATCTGGGGAATGAATGGAAGAGGAGCAATGTGGAGAGAAGACACTGTAAACTATTTTGGGGCATGCAAGTGAAGTCTGTGTCTGGAGTTTGGGGACAGTATCTCTTTTCCTTTTTTTTTTTTTTGCTACATCCCCAGTCCTAGGCTCTGGGATTGTTGGTAGCAGATAAGATCACTTTAAAAAACAGTTGAGCAAGAAAAGGACTTGAGATCCAAGCAGGCCAACATTGAAAAGTATGTGTGAGGAGAAAGTCTAGGAAGAAAACTGGGAAATTTGTGACATAAAAGCTGAAGAAGTGCCAAGTAGGAGCAGTAGTGAAAGTTGATGCCTACAATTTAAAGTGGTGCTGTCCTCACTCACCTGGGTATAGATACACATTCACAGAAAACAACTAGAACTTGATTCCCTTGGTTGAAAAGCTAGATGAAATTTTTTCCTTACTTGGAGGTAGAAGGTCACTGTTTTGGATTGTACTCTAGTGCAGACTCTGCCAAGATTTCAAAATAAGATCATTTTCAGCCTAGGAGGAATGTGTCCAAACCAGCCCTTGTGGCTGAATGATTTCAGCATGAAGCTTAGAAAACCAGCAGTGTTGGCACTCCTAACAAGTTATCACCCAGGCAGCGTTAAGATACTGAATTCCTTTGTCTAATGTGGGGGCGGTTGGCTTGAACCTCTTGCTTCTTTTGGTTTGCTGCACAGAGTGAATCCCTTCAGCCAGCCCCCTCTTGGGCTCTGCAAGGGCTGCTGACTTTGATCAAGGGATGAGGACATGATGAAGCCACTAGGGAAAATTTTTAAAGAAAGGGGATTTTTTTTAATTAGACATAAAATCAAATTCCATATATATTGAGGAATTATTACAATAAAGCACATAGTAGCCATAATTATAAACCAGAGTTCGAAACCCCCATCAACACCTGACCTTTGTAGTCCTCAGTGTACCCCTGGGGGAAGTCACCTTCTGGTAACTTTTAGAGTGATCACTTCCTTTTTGGGGAGTAGGAGTCATTGTTTGTCACTAGTATTAGTTTTTGTATGTGTACACATGAACTGACAATATAGAAATTCACTTGTATATCTTTCAGATAATACTGTGTTTGTGAGATCCATCCATGTTGATGTTTATAGCTGTGCCTTTGTTCATTTTTATTACCATAGTGAATATTTGGGTTATTCCTTTATGTATATGTTGGGAAATATGTGCAGAAGTTCCTTTGGGGGTATTAAACCAGAAGTAGAATTCTGAGTTGTAGGTTATATTTTGTATCTCTAGATTCACTAGATAATTGCAAATTTATTTTCCCTTAATGGTTAAAGTAGAATTTTTACCAAATTAATGAAATGGCCAAAGATATCCCAGATAGGCACAGAGATCTCCAAAGCACAGACTAGCATAGTGATAGGAGTTTGGGGAAGGACCGGAAGCCGCAGACTTGATGCCAGACTACACATCTGAAGAGACAAGAAAGCTGCATGTTTGGGGGAAGATGGCTCTGGAGCACCAATCACAGTGTCTGTCTGTGCTCACCCAAAACAAAGGTGATAGTCCCATTGCCTACCTGGAATGCTCGAACACGGGAACCTGTCACAGACAATGTGGAGAAGTTTGCCATTGAGACAGAACTCGTCTACAAGTACTCTCCCTTCCACACCGAGGAGCAAGTGATGGCCCAGTTCATGAAGATTCCCGGAAATAGTGGTGAGTAGGCTTTGGACATGTAGCCCAGAGAACCCAGGAGCTCTAGAGCCTCTGGTAGCATAGGAGTGAGCCAGGGCGGGCTGGCAGAGAGAAAGGATTTCTGTTCCCCAGGAACACTGGTGATCATCTTTAATCTCAAGCTCATGGACAATGGAGAGCCGGAACTAGACATAATCTCAAATCCAAAAGATATCCAGATGGCAGAGACCTCCCCAGAGGGCACGTGAGTATGGCTGGAAGGGTGGCAGGCCCTGGACTGGTCTTTACTCCCTTAGGAGATGACTTCAGGGAAAAATGAAAGTCCCTTTCCTGGCTTTCTCTTGTGGCAGTATTGATAGAGCTGAGAGCTCCTCCTACCTGCTTAATAGCAGACGGTGGCTCCTCAGCGAAACTAAAGCAAAGATTAATGATTCCCTGTTCAACTCTTTCATTTGACAGAAGAAACTGAGGCCTGGATCTAGTGGTGGTTAAATTTCACTAGGTTCTCTGTAAGGGCCAGATGAGGTGTCTGTGAGGCACCTGTGCTAGGGAAATGACAGGGCGGGAACTAGTACCTATGATGAGGGACCATCCTGGTGTCACGAGAAGCCAGGATATGAAATGAAAGGTGAGGGACTGCAGAGAGGTGGTCAGTCCGTAGCTTTGGGCTTACTGTGGTATGGAGACAGTACTTCTCAGTTCCTGCTATCTCCAGGAAGCCAGAGCGACGCTCCTTCCGAGCCTATGCTGCTGTGCTCTATATTGATCCTCGGATGAGGATCTTTATTCATGGACACAAGGTGCAGACCAAGAGACTCTCCTGCTGCCTGTATAAGCCCAGGTAAGTGCTTAGCTATCATGACTTGGGCTGGGAAATGGGGCCTGGCTGCAGCTCTCTGGAGTGATGTGAGGGTGGCGCAGTGAGAGGGCTCTTAACACTGCTGATTGCACCTGTTCACAGAGAGTCATCTCCCTGGTAAGGACAGAAGTGACGGCAGGCTGCTGGGTTGGCTGGCCAGACCCGTTGAGGGAAGTGCCTTCTGAGATGTGGGGAGTGGCACAGGGAGCTGTCTTGTCTCAAGTTCAGGGCCTATAGACCCTTAACAGGAAAGGAAAAGCCGTGGCTTATTACCAAGGTTTGCTCCTGCTATGAGATTAGTGATGCCTGCTGAACACCAAAGACACATCAGGAGACCAGGGGTAAATTGAGTAAGGAACTGAATCATTTTACTAAAGTAAGCTTGGATTTGTTTCATCAGGAGGAGCCAGGGTAGCACCGCATAGGGGGAAACCAGGTGCTTCCTGAGCTGTTCAAGTTGGTTGTCTGCCCCACTGCTGCTTGTTGCTCAGGTTGCTTTTTCTACTCTTCAGAATGTACAAGTATACATCAAGCCGTTTCAAGACGCGAGCAGAACAGGAAGTGAAGAAAGCAGAGCATGTAGCACGAATTGGTAATGCTACTCCCTGTGTTAGGAGGAGGAATGGAGTTGGGGGCACTGCTTGCATCCAAAGCCTGGACTATTCTACCTGAATCCAGTTCTTCTCTAACTCTCCCTATATCTAATCCCATCTGCCCTGTCTCTCAGACTAGACTCTCCTCCCAGTGCTTACAGGGCTTTATGCAGAGCTGAAGTGGCATAAAGCACACATATAGATTCTTATTTAAGTCAGATACCAAGTCAGATACAGATTCAAGACCAGTTGAAATATTTCATACTGCCGGGCATTGGTGGCGCACGCCTTTAATCCCAGCACTCGGGAGGCAGAGGCAGGCGGATCTCTGTGAGTTCGAGGCCAGCCTGGTCTACAGAGTGAGTTCCAGGACAGCCTCCAAAACAATACAGAGAAACCCTATCTCTAAAAACCAAAAAAAAAAAAAAAAAAAAAAAAAAAGAAAGAAAGAAATATTTCATACTACATACAAGGTTTCTCTCCAGGAATAACTACAATTTTCTCAGCTGTGTGGTGGGGGTAAGTGTCTAAAGCATTCTTCAGGTTCAAGTTCGTGTTGAAAGTTGAGTTTCCATTGGGTAATTTTTTTTTAACTATTGTAATTCATTTGTGAAGCTTAGAAACTATGAAGTATAAGTAATCTCAGCCAGGCGTTGGTAGCGCACGCCTTTAATCCCAGCACTTGGGAGGCAGAGGCAGGTGGATCTCTGTGAGTTTGAGGCCAGCCTGGTCTACAGAACGAGCTCCAGGACAGCCTCCAAAACAATACAGAGAAACCCTGTCTCGAATAACAAAACAAAACAAAAAAACCTCTCTCTGGGGTTATGATTTTATTTGAGATAGACTTACTTTATATCTCATGTTGGCCTCAAACTCAATGATCCTTCTGCCTTAGCCTGCAGAGTGCTGGAATTATAACCATGTGCCATATTGTCTGTGACCGTTTTGAATGTCAACTGGGTTTTTTGTTTTTTTGTTTTTTGTTTTTTGTTTTTTTTTTTGTTACTGTTTTTTCTGAAACAGTTGTGTAGTTCAGGCCCAGAGGCTGCCCCTTGTGGCCATTGCTTCTCTAGGTGGCTTTTTCCTTGTTAGCATACACTTCATGTGCAGCAGGGACGGCTCTGTGGATCAAGGAAGGATGACAGAGTTCTGAACTTTTGATTTCTTCTGAGTTTAGCTGAAGAGAAGGCCCGGGAGGCAGAGAGCAAAGCTCGGACATTAGAAGTTCGCATGGGTGGAGACCTGACACGGGACTCTAGGGTAAGTCCTAACATATATGGCATTGGGATCTAGTATCCTGACCTTAGTAAAATGAAAAACAGTAAGGTCACTTTTCTGTATAAAGAAATAACCTTCAGGTATGTTTTAGCATCTAGGTGTTATCAGTGTGGAAATCTATTACTTATGTAGGTAGCATAAAGCACCTCTTCCCCTCTCCTGATGGGCATGTATTTGCAGGTGATGTTGCGGCAGGTCCAGAATACAGCCATCACCCTGCGTAGAGAAGCTGATGTCAAGAAGAGGATCAAGGATGCCAAGCAGCGGTGAGTACTTGTACAACCCTTTGGTCTTTTAAAATCATGTAGCATTTGTACCAACAGGTTGCCATTTGGTGCCAAGTTTATTTTGAGAAAACCATCACTGCTGTGATTGAAAATGCTTAGAAGGCAGGCAGAGCCAACACTTCATTCACACTGCTGTCCTTTTCTTACTCTGTTCTGTTAACGTTGTATAAAATGCCCCATTGTGCAAAACTTGAAATATATAAACATTTAAATAAAAAATGTAAAACTCCCTTATTCTTCTGAAAATTATGTGTTCTTATTATATGTTCATAATTCATTCTGTCCACTGGTTATAAATGTAGAATAATACAATTGAGTTTTGTGCCTTTTCATTTAGAATATATTGTTTTGGGTCTAAATCATCAAGTCCCTAACTCTGTAGAGCTTCTCAGGCTCTAGGGCATAGGTTCCTAGCTAGACTCCAGGTTGCTTCCTTGCCACAGGAGGAAGTTTCAGATCACTTCACTCTAACTTGTCCCAAGATTTCCTTGACATGTCATTTGAGTGTCTTCTCTCACGTATTCTTGTTAATTTTTTGTCCTTAAAACTATTACCTGTAGGCCAGGTGTTGGTGGCTCATACCTTCAATCCCAGCACTCAGGAGGCAGAGGCAGGCGGATCTCTGTGAGTTAGAGGCCAGCCTGATCTACAGAGCGAGTTCCAGGACAACCTCCAAACCAATACAGAGAAACCTTATCTTATAAAACAAACAAACAAAAAAATAACTATTATATAAACCAGGCATAGTGGTGAACACCTTTAATCCCAGTACTTGGGAGGTAGAGACATGTGGCTCTCTGCTGGTCTACAGAGGGAGTTCTGAGACTCTTGTCTTGGAAAAACAACAAAACAAAACAAACTAAACTATTGCTGTTACATAATTGAGATTTTTAAGGAAGGTATGATTATAATGTTATATTTATTCTGTCTAACTCTGCAGAGATTTGCAGCAGTTTCACAGTAATACATTCATATTTAAATCCATCCCTCTTTTGCTATATTAAAAAAAAACCAGAATTCTGTGTTTATATGGAGGGTCACTGAACAGTATAGATACTTATCAAGTCTAACATCACATATTGAATGGGAATGGAAAATTTTAATATGTCTCAGAAAGCTTAACACTATCACCATGTTGTTTTTGTGCTAATAAGTTAATAGGCATAATCTTTTTTTTCTTCTCTTTACTAGAGCACTCAAAGAACCCAAGGAACTGAATTTTGTTTTTGGAGTCAATATTGAACATCGGGACCTAGATGGCATGTTTATCTACAATTGTAGCCGTCTGATCAAGATGTATGAGAAAGTGGGCCCACAGCTGGAAGGGGGCATGTGAGTACTGCTCTAGGAGAGAGTTTTCCAGCCCAGGGTGAATGACAGAAGAGTTTTGGTTACAGCTATGACCTCTTTGTCCTTGCAGGGCATGTGGTGGGGTTGTTGGGGTTGTTGATGTACCCTACTTGGTTCTGGAGCCTACACATAACAAGCAGGACTTCGCTGATGCTAAGGAGTACCGGCATCTACTTCGAGCAATGGGGGAACACTTGGCACAGTACTGGAAGGACATCGCCATTGGTAATGGGGCCAGCCACCAGGCCTCAGCCTCTCTTTTATCTTGAGCCTTAGGATGCTTTTATGACTTGAGAAGAGTGAGTTTAGTTAGGAAAATGGTGAAGCTTGCTTCTAATGTAATATGTTGGCATTTGCCTTCTAGCCCAGCGTGGAATCATTAAGTTTTGGGATGAATTTGGTTATCTTTCTGCCAACTGGAACCAACCCCCATCCAGTGAGCTTCGTTTCAAACGCCGGAGGGCAATGGAAATCCCAACCACTATCCAGTGTGGTGAGTTGAGTGGTGGGAATTCTTCTCTAGACTGCTATAGTGATACTCTTCTCTTCAGCCTCATGCCGGCCTTCTGATTTGACTTAATATTCATAAACTTGGGTTCTGCCAGGAATAAGATCTGCTGGCAGTGGCTCTGTGAGCACAGTCTTGAGGCTGTGCTAGTTCCTCCAGTTTCTCTTAATGAGGTAGACAGTCAGCCTACCTTGGAGACAATTCACACCCCAGCTGGGCCAGGCTCAGTAGGTTTGGTACCATGTCATATCTAGTATGTATAAATGACTGAGCATAGAGGAAGGAAGGGCTGATGGCATTAAGATTCCATGATATTTTTAATCCTTGTTGCAGTCTGTCCATAAAAAGTGAATGAATCAGTTTTGTAATAATAGATTAAGAGTGTTAAAAGTCCAGGACATATTTGCTGAGGGCCTAGCTATGAGGAGCCTGGATTCCAGTAATTGTTGATAGGTGTGGCTAACCTGTAGGGAGGGGTATTTTTTCTCTTGCAGATTTGTGTCTAAAATGGAGGACCCTCCCCTTCCAGCTGAGCTCAGTAGAAAAAGACTATCCTGATACTTGGGTTTGCTCCATGAACCCCGACCCTGAGCAGGACCGGTGAGCCTTTCTTTAACAAGGACTGTGATTACTCTTCCCTCCATGCTGTGGTAGACATCAGGACTAGAAGCAGTTTGGCTTATACTTCCAAGTACCCTCCATCATTTAGAGAAGTCAGGCAGGCTAGCTCAGTAACTCAGGCTCAGGGTTAGCCAGCTTTTGTATACAGCCCAAGACTGCCTTGGGATATTACCATCCATAATGGACTTGGCTCCCCTATGTCGCTTAGCAAGGCAGCCCCTGACAAGCATGGCATGCCCACAGGCCAGTCTGATCTAGGTCATTCAGGCTTTCTTCTCAGATGACTCTAGGCGGTGTCTAGTTGACAGTTGAAGCTAACAAAACATTCACTAGTCCCACCACTGTTGCCTTCACTCTTAGGGTAGTTCTTGAGGTCAGTGTTTTCATAGCTTACATCTTTGGTTGCTGCCCAAGAAGGAAGAAGAGATGCTGTCCATTTTTATACATTGGAAGCTCTGTGGTGGTTGCAAGACAGCAAGTCTCTGTCCTATTGGAACATTGTTTTGCCACCAGTTTCTTCTCTTTATAGCTGTGAAGCTTCTGAACAGAAGCAGAAGGTTCCCTTGGGGACGTTAAAAAAGGACCTAAAGACACAGGAAGAAAAGCAGAAGCAGCTGACAGAGAAAATTCGCCAGCAACAGGAAAAGCTAGAAGCTCTTCAGGTATATGGTCATGGGCAAGTAGGTGTGTGTGTCAGCAGTCTGTCCAGGATAGAAGCCTTCAGTGACTTTCTTGTCCCTTCCACTCAGCATATGTTCCCACCAAGGTTTTCCAAACACTTCTCCAGTGCACCTTACTGATTATTTAGCTAACAAACTATTTTGTTTATATATCCAAATTGGTCTGATGTATTTAGAATGTATAAGCATTCCAGGAAATAAATATCCTATCATAGAAGAAAACACTATTAACTCAATAGTTTTGTAACTTTTTTTCCTTCCTCCTCCCATCAGGAATTAAACTAGGGATTTGTATGTATTAGACAAGTTATACCACTGAGCTATATAACTAGCCCTTTCCTTGTTTGTTTGTTTGTTTATTTGGTTTTTCGGGGCAGGGTTTCTCTGGGAGGCCTAGCTATCCTGGAACTCACTCTATAGAGTGCCTTTGACTTCCTGCCTATTTTATTTTATTTTACTTTTATTTTTATTTTACCTATTTTTATATTATATTTAAGTCTCACTGAATTCAACTCAAGTTCAGGCTGGTCTTAGACTTAAGATTCTTTGGAGTAGCTCTTTCCAATTTTACATGAATGCCAACACTTAAAAATCTCTAAGGCAGGGCGGTGGTGGCGCATGCCTTTAATCCCAGCACTCGGGAGGCAGAAGCAGACTGATCTCTGTGAGTTCAAGACCAGACTGGTCTATAACACCTAGTTCCAGGACAGCCTCCAAAGCCACAGAGGAACTCTATCTCGAAAAACCAAAAAAGAAAAAAAAAAAACTATAATTTTTAGTAGTCACAGAGAACCATCCCATGTATATTTAATATATGCATATATTATTTTAGTGCATAATAAATTTCTTGATAATTTTTAAGAAGAGTCTGAAAAATGTTAAAGCTTTAAAAGAATTCTCAAATTACCTTGCAAAAGATATATTGTTTTGCATTTTTTTATTTATCACTTCTCTCATATATCCCAATTGGAGTTGTTCCTCCCTCTTCTCCTCCCAGTCATGTTTCCCCCACCCCCCCCATTTTGTACTTTTTACCAGTGTGCAGAGTATTATCTTTATATTACAAATTTGATAAGCAAAAATTAATTTTATTTTTTATTCTTAAGGTTGACCAAATTTTCATGTGTACTTAATGTTAAGTATTTCATGGTTTCATTTTTTTTGGGGAGGTTCGAGACAGGGTTTCTCTGTGGCTTTGGAGACTGTCCTGGAACTAGCTCTTATAGACTAGGCTGGTCTCAAACTCACATAGATCTGAATGCCTCTGCCTCCTGAGTGCTAGGATTAAAGGCATTCACCACCAATGCCCAGCTGATTTCATTTTTTTTAATGATTTATTTTTATTATTTTAAAATCGTGTCTGTCTCTATGTGCATGAGTTCATGCATGGAATGTGTACAGGTGCCTGTGGATTCCAGAAGGGGGCATCAATACTAGTTGAGGGTGATGGGATCTGAACTCTGGTGCCCTACAAGACCATCCTGCCCCTTTAACCAATAAACCTTCTCTACAGCCCCCAATGTCATATTTGTTACAAAAGTGTTTCCTTTCTCTGTGTCCTATACTTACTAACTGGAAATGTCTTCAGCATATTGAAGCCTACCTCATGTCACCAATCCCTCAACAGTCCTTTCATACCTTTTTTGGTTTCTTTTTTAGAAATTTTAAAGATTTCCCCATTCTTTCAGTTGCTAAATCAGTTACAAAGGACATGCATATTTATGAATGTGTACAAATGTATACACAATAATATATATGTATGTACTTACATACACACATATATTGCCCTTCTAGTGATAAAAGAAAGCTTTCAGAAATAGAACTGGTCACTGTCCCAGGCAAACAATGAGGGTCCAGAAAGAAAGATTACAAACAATTTCATCATTACATTTGTTTTGCAGAAAACCACACCCATCCGCTCACAAGCTGACCTGAAGAAATTGCCCTTAGAAGTGACTACCAGACCTTCCACTGAAGTAAAGCCCAGGGACATAAGGGAGGTGGGGCTCATCTGGTGTCTTAAGCAAGGATCAATGTTCCCACTGTCTGTGGGTTTTTTTAGGAACCTGTGAGGAGACCTCAGCGTCCTCGGTCACCTCCTTTACCTGCAGTGATCAAGAATGCTCCTAGCAGACCGCCTTCTATTCATGCTCCCAGACCAACCAACCAACTCCGAAAGGCTTCAGTTGTCAGCAGCCCCCCAAAGCTGCCTGCTCCAGCAGCCCGAGGAGAAACTAGTACTTCCAGGCTGCTCCAGCTAGCTGAGGCACCCCGAAAGCCTGCAAACCCTCCCATCAAGACTTCACCCCGACCTACTCCTCCTATACAGCCTTCATCACCCTCTCTACTCCCCAACTCCAAGAACCTTCGGGAGGTCCCTGCTCAAAAAGCCATCAAGTCTCCAGTGGTCAAGAAACCAGAGCCACCTGCTAAACATTCTGTGGTGAGATGCTTTGCCTCCTTCATGTTCTAGGATCACTAAATAAAGCTTTTCTGATGCCTTCAAAGAGGAGGAACCTACACAATGAGACTTGCTCAGAACTTACACAGTTTTTTACCCAGCAGTCCCAACCTTGGTCTGTTGTAAACTTGAGTCAGCTCCTCTGGTCTTATGGTATGGGTATAGTTTGTTAATGTGGTGACAGGGCTTTGGTAGATTATGGTGGTGGTCACTGTGTGTCAAGAAGGTCTCAACAGGTTAAACTGAGAAGCTTCTCTTGCAAGAGTTATTGTCAAAAGTCCATATAGTATGAGGACCAGGAGGTTGCTTATGTGTGTACTGAGTAATTCCAAGTAGGAATTGACATAAACTTCCAATAGTTCTATTGACTACACAAAATCTTCCTGCATTTTGGAGGCTGAACAGGGACCCTTTATGCTTCTACCCTTCTGCTCTAGGCAACTTCAGGTCGGAAGCGGAGTCTTGTAGTCTCTGATGAGGAAGAGGCTGAAGAAGAAGCTGAGAAGAGGAAAGAGAGATGCAAGCGGGGCAAGTTTTCTGTGAAGGAGGAAAAGAAGGAAGCAAGTGAGGTGAGTGGTCACATGAGGTTCTCAGGGATTGCCTCCCTGGACGTGTACCAGTCCCCATAGTGTTCATGACTCTCAAGGACTCTTGTTATCCAGATAATTAGAAACATGGGGCCAGGTAGGATCTTGAGACTTGTTCTAATTACAGGTCAGTATATACTGGTGTATACCTTACTGGTATACAACTAGGGGCCTAGAATCACTTGCGATGTGTCCCTTTCCTGCTGTTCTGTACATAAAGGTGGCAGATACCAGGGACAGCATAAGAAGATATGTTATAGCTGATGATCATGGGTGCGCAGTAACACAAAAGACTACTTTTTAGAGGCCATTGAAGAAACTTCTAATAGACTGTTCTCCTTGCAGCTCTCAGACAGTGCTGGGGAAGATGACCCAGCTGAACTCAAGAAGGCTCAAAAAGGCAAGTTTGGGGAGGTCCCTGTTGGCCAGTGGTGGAAATGGAAATAGAGCCTTCACTGTCAGCAGCTTCCCGGGCTTGGTCTCTGTCTGTAGTTGGCTCATCTATCCCTTCATGATGTTTTGCTTCATTTATGATGCTTGAGATTTTTGAGTAGACCTTCATTAGATAGTTCAGTTTGGCCTTGAATTTTTAATCCTCTGACTCAGTCTACCAGTGCTGGGTTTAAAGGCATGTGCCATCATGCTTGGCTTGAGATTCACGGGTTGGGGGATCTGGGGGGTTTGTTTTGTTTGCTTGTTTTGACACTAATCCTTTGGTGCTTGCTCTTGGTAAGTTGTTCATCCTTTGTCTTGGCTCTATGGCAGATGAAGAATCCCCATTGCTAAACTTCAGGGTGCATACCTAGGGAACTTCCACCTGGGACTACCTTTTACAGATACAGCGCTGGCTGAGTTGGGAACATTGGTGTAGTTCTCTGATTCTCACTTGTGTTTGAATTCTCAGATAAAGGACTGCATGTAGAGGTACGTGTGAACCGGGAGTGGTACACAGGCCGTGTCACAGCTGTAGAGATGGGCAAGAATGTGGTTCGATGGAAAGTGAAGTTTGACTACGTGCCCACAGACACAACACCAAGAGACCGCTGGTAATGCCCTCTTCTGGGAGATCAGAATAGCAGAAGTCAACTAGGGTTAAGGGAGAGATACCTTTATGTCCTTCTTAGTGTCCTTTTAGCTTAGGATAGACATGATAAGCCCTGTGTCCCCCCTAGGGTGGAGAAAGGCAGTGAAGATGTACGACTGATGAAGCCACCTTCTCCAGAGCATCAGAGTCCTGACACGCAGCAAGAAGGTGGAGAGGAGGAGGAAGAGGAAGAGGAGGAGGAAGAGGAGGAGGCTGTGGTGGCCCAGCAGGCTGTGGCCTTGCCAGAGCCCTCTACCTCTGATGGTCTCCCCATTGAGCCTGACACCACTGCCCCAAGTACCAGCCATGAGACTATTGATCTCCTAGTCCAGATTCTTCGGTTTGTGTTTCTTTAGCCTTTTTCTTAGGTCTGACAGTAGTTCTTCACTTTTTCCATGCTATTCTGAGTTCCTATCCCTCTCTTTTTTCCTACTTAGGAACTGCTTGCGATATTTCTTGCCTCCAAGTTTCCCCATCTCCAAGAAAGAACTGAGTGCTATGAATTCAGAAGAACTAATATCTTTTCCTCTGGTGAGTCTGGCCTGACTTGGTTTGTACACCCAGTTGCTCATTCATGCTTATTATTACCATCTCAACATCTCTTCTTATCAAGAGACGATTTGAGTAAATAGGACTGATGTGCAGAGAAGAAAGCCAGCTTCACCCCTTGAGGCTCCTTTACAGATTTAGGACAAGTACATCTATTTTCTTTTTCTTAAACCTGTCCTTGACAACATTAATGAGATTAAACTCAGTATACCTAGAACTTGAGACGTAGAGAGAGGAAGAGGGAAGATGGTGTTGTCTTGAGATGATAATGAGGACTTGTATAGCCCAGTGGATTCCACTGGCTTTCTGCTTCTGCCATCTTAAGATTTGCTAGAGGTGGAGTTGCTGCTACTAGGTAGCTGGCTATAAGTCTGAGAGAAATGAACATTGTGGCAGTGGCCAGAGAGTATTGACACTTGGTAGAGAGGGAAAACACCAAAAAACCCTAACCATAGAACCAAAAAACAATTAGGGTTTCAATAAGTGCCTGTTTTTGTAAGTGCAGGGGACTGTCTGAAGGGGAGAGAATAGACTTTTGTGAGCAGCAACAGGCTGAAAGGGCTAGGGATATGGTACATCTTTGGGTGCCAGTCTTAGCCTCGTTTTTATGTAGGAAATGGTTGGAGCTGAAGGAATTGTTGACCTGAACCATGCCCAGAGCCAGTTAGCAAATAATAATGGGTTTGTAGGTTATATAGTGTCTGATAACTACTCAGCTCTTCAATTATAGCTTGAAAGTATCCAGAGACAGTCCATCAAGAAATAAAGCTTTATTTACAGAAACGTAGAAGTTGATTTATGTCTGTTGCCCTGCCCTTTAAGGGGGCATCTTCAATAGCATGAGTCCTGTCACGTTCTTTCTTATCTTACAGTAAACCCAGCCCAGATTTTGGCTTTTGCCCTTGTTTAGACTGGGCTCTCCAGAGATCCTAGGAGAACAAACATCTTTGACTTGTTACTTTTGGCATCAACTTGTGAAATTGAAAGCAAAAGCCAGGGTACAGAAGGACCTCAGCAGTAGGCACTTCCACTCAGCCCAGAACAGAATCAAGTGTGACTGTCTGAGTCTAAAAATAACACCTAGTTTGTTTTTGTAAAAGTAGTTACCGGTAGTAGTACACAACTTTGATCTTCTGGTTGGAGTTTCTAAAACCAAACTTTCAGTTTTGTTCATTTTTTTCTTTAGTGTGTAAATGGTGTTCTCTAGTACTTTGACAATTAAAGGATATTTGCATTTGGCTTACAATTTATTTTGTGTAGTCAAGATATTTTTTAAGTAGAATGTGAAGTTTCTCTTGCCATCCTAGTGTGAGATCATAGTGTGGATTGTAAAGCAAAACAGCAGTCAGAAGCCCCTCCATGCAGCAACTCATGCAAAATTCATGGAAACAAGTAAGTGCTAGAGTAGACTGCAGTGGACAGCCAGGACCTGTGGTGGTTTTGCCCATGAAGATAACTTCCTCTTTCTCAGTGGCTGTTTCTGGGGTACGACTTAAATTGTTTTTAACTACCTTTAACTACTTCATAATAAAAGCCTCTGTTGCTGTACAACTATTTACTGTATAAATCTGGAGATAATTTCTGATGGTAGGTGCTTGGTAGATCTTTGGTCCTAACACTGTGTTGGATATAGAAGTCCTATTCTGGAGTTAGAAAGGTATGATTGAGCTAGGAAAATGACCCTGCCTTCCAGGTTATTTACTAAGCACTTGGCTGAGTGCATTGTGTCCTCATCCTTGCGGTATCCCAAAAGGGACTGTTTCCCCTTGTACTGAAATAAAACCAAGGGTACTTGTGAACTCTTGGCCCCTATCATGTTTCCTTCCACAGAAAGAGTACTTCAAGCAGTATGAAGTGGGCCTCCAGAACCTGTGCCATTCCTACCAAAGTCGTGCTGACTCACGGGCAAAAGCCTCAGAAGAGAGCTTGCGCACTTCTGAGAAAAAGCTTCGTGAGACAGAGGAGAAGTTACAGAAATTGAGGACCAACATTGTAGCACTCCTGCAGAAAGTACAGGAGGTGAGCCAGCAGCCCTCTCTTAGAAGCTAGACCAACTGGTCTCAGGGAGGAGGGGCTGGACTTCTTACAGGACTCTATCCAATCACAGGAGTCTGTGTTTCCAACCCTGACTGCTCAGGGTCCTGATGGGAGGGCTGAAGGGCTAGAACTGCTTGGGCTTCGTCCCAGCCAGACCCCACAGACCATACGGTTTGCTTTGAAAACCCTTTAAACCATAAGCAAGATGCTTCCTTATCTAATTGGTGTCTCAGGTGGAATCGAGTAGTGGAGAAGTGGGATATTGCCCTTTGGGGGTCTGGTAGAGACTGGGAGCCTGATCTCTGGAGACAGGCTGGTGGAGAAGCTAGAACTACAAATGGGGTGGTACTATGAAGTAAGTAATGAGAGACTGGGGGAAGCCACTTGACTTGGGGGCTCAGAGTGGACTCTGACAAGATACTTGCACTGAAGCTGATAAGAACCTCTAAGTATATGGTTTGAACCCACGGGCCGAAAATTACTGGAGGGGAGTAGCATAGTCAAATTTTCAATATAAGATACTAGTTAGTTGGAGGGATGCAGGTTAGAACCAGAGAATCCCATTCTTTCCTGGACCTGCACACTGAGTAATGACAGAGGATAACAGATTTAGAAGCAGGGCAGGAACAAGAAGCAGACAGTGTGGCAAGAGATAGCAGGATGGAATTCCTGCCCAGTCCCACCCCCAATCTGTTTTCTTGCCCCAGCTGACCCCCACCCCACTCTGTTCTAGGACATAGACATCAACACAGATGACGAGCTGGATGCCTACATTGAGGACCTCATCACCAAAGGGGACTGAGGAACTCGGAGGCAGATAACTCCTCTGAACACCTGCTCCTCAGCACAGCAGCTTCTGGGGAGGGCATTTCATTAGTGAGTTGGTGGGCTTAATCTTGGTTTGACTCATGTGAGACATTTGTGCTTTGGGAAGAAGATTCCTTGAATCTTCCTCCCTAAGTTTACATAAATATTTATTTTTTAAAAGAGAAGATGTTAATGCCTGCTGTGAGACCATTCTTCTTTTGTGTGACTCTCGAGGAAAGGGCACAGAGTCTGAGCCATTGAGCTCCTGGCACCTCAAGATAGGATGCAGCAAGTGCCATCCTGAGCTGGAGAGGCTCCAGGGGCAGGGTGATTTTTCTCCTAAAGGATCAAAAATGGGACATGAAAAAATATATGACCCCAGGGACTCAGATCTATAAGACCCATAAGGGGTCATCAAAGCAGGCCCAGACCAGAAGGACTCTCCTTACAACAGACCTTGTGTCCAGTAAGGGCTGTGAATGTCTGTAGGCTCCTGAGCAGCTGTCAGAGTCACCCTAACTGTGGCTGTATCCAGACAGCTTGGAGATGATTCTTGATGCTCACATTTCCCAACACACCACCTACTTTGTTGCTAAAGGAGCCATTGCCTGAATCAACCACACTGTCCAAGCTCAAGCGTAGACAGCTCTGACTGCTCAGATTGCTGGACTGGATAGCACTCTGAATGTTGACCTAAGAGTCTCAGGGTATGCAGGTGTAAAAGAGCTCTCTGGAAGAGGGGGCTTCCTCAGTGGTGCTAGTTCCTGAAGAGCCTTTGCTGCTGCTTTTCTACTGTGTCCTCTGTGGGTTCCAGAGAGCCCAGCACCTCCCATACTCTGAACAGTGAGGAGAAGGGACCATGTGCTTCAGGCAACTACTCAGAGCCGGAAGGGCAAGAGCTTCATTTGATGGCCATTGGGAGAATTCTGGTTCCAGTCCTGCCAACTCTTCACTACTGTTGAAGACCACTGAAGATAGAGCTGTGACTTTGTACTCTTGATCCAAACCACATTGGGATTTGTTTCCTCCATCTACCCAAGTCCCATGGTGTTTGCAGAAGATGGGGAAGTGGTGGTGAGGGAATTGTGCACATGTGTCTAGAAGCGCCTGCTTGGGCTCTAGGCTACCCCAGACTGTCTGAGAAGGCAATCTCTGATGCAGGGTTGTTGTGAGGGAGTATCATTCACAAGTAGTCCTCTTCTCTGCAGCGTTCTCCAATAGATGGGTTTCCTGAGTTGGTGCACATAAACCCCGATCCAACTTTCTGTTGACCCTATCCAGGCAGTGTGTGGTCCATTTTTGTCTGTAAACCTACTGTTTAAAAGAAAATCGGTCCTGCATTTTTATTGGCAGGTAATGCTTTTTTTTTTTAACCTACACATGTAATCAAAATGTGTTACCATAAATTTCTACTGGTGAAACTCCTGACTCCTGAGTTCAATACATTTCTTTTGTGAAATATAAGACCTTTCTCTTCATTCTGTTGCATCTCCACTCTCTTTTTAGTTTCACTTTCTTAATACTCACAGACACACAACTTCATTTCTTAGATGTTTTAGCTTTAACTTTCTGGGTGTACTGAATCCAACCTCAGCTTTTCTGAATGCTTCCTGTTCCTCAAGCAGAGGTCCTACTGTTCTGATGGCAAGATAAAATATAGGGTCTTTCCTGGGAACATCATGAAATAGCTGACCTTGGAACTGATAAGGCATCCACTGGCTCTAAAGGAGAGGGGTGGGTTTCAGATATTAAGTGACAAGTGCACATGGTAAGAATCCAAATGCTAGAAAAGGCAGAACATAAAAAGCAAGGTTTTCTTCTACCTGATCTCCAAGCTCTCCCTGGAGATCAGTGTAGTCATCCTGGACACACAGTAACACACCTGCCCTCTGATTTCCTTAGGTTCTGTTTGTTTTTTGCCAAGTACATCATACATTGTTTCAGAATGAATCTAGTATGAGTTTACTTTGTTCTGAACCATTACAGAACATTTCATTATCCTGAATGTGTTATCATATAACAATCTGTAAACCACCACCACCACCCCCTACCCCACAGCCCTGTTTTTTGAGACAGGGTTTCTCTGTTTAGCAGCCCTGGCTGTCCTGGAACTAGCTCTTGTAGACCAGTCTAGCCTTGAACTCATAGAGATCTGCCTGCCTCTGCCTCCCGAGTACTGGGATTAAAAGGTTACCGCCCAGCTAACACTCATGTTTCTAACATCTGAAGAAAGCTGTGGTATGTGTGTGCCTTTATCTATTACATTTATGTAGAGGGTGAGTCCCAGAAAGAACTATCAGATACATTCATTCCCATTCTGGTCCCAGCAACTTCCATTTTCAACTCAATAATTGTGGGTATCTTCACACGTGATTTTGTTTTAATGTGACTGAGCATTTGGTTGACTTACCTAGGTTTTTTGGTTTTGTTTTTTGGTGCAGAGGTATATATAGTTCTGAATCTAGGACTAGGAATATTTTTATTAACCATGAGTTTGCAAAATCCTCAGGAAAATGTCTTAGTAGGATTTAGGATTTCCAACCCCATTTGAGAGTAAAATGCTGTCTACAACCAGGTCAAGACAAGGACATCACTTTTGCTTTCCAAGAACTAGTACAAGCTGAGGAAACTTCTGGTTTCTTCTTTTCATCTGTCTGAGACACTGCTTTTTATCTTATAGGCTCATCTGGCCCATGTTAGCAGCAGTTGGCTGATAGTTGGCACCTTTAAAAGGATCAGTAGTAAAGCTTGATAAGACTCCAAACTTGCCATTTACACAGAACTCAAGTTTGGTCTGAGTTCTTTGTGCCTCCACTGGCTACTTGACCCCTATTTGCAAGGTCATCCAACAGGGTTGGGTGAGCCTGAAACATCCTGAGAATTCTACTGCAAGGTTCTGGACTTCACTGGAAATGGAACCTGGAAGGCTCCAAGTGCAACAGTCACGCTGCACTGGCTTCTCAGAGCAGCTGCAGGGCCAGCTTGACCCAGAAAGCAGAACCCCCAACAGGTTCTGCCTTCAGACTGCCAGTTCCCCTGTCCTATTCCAGGGACCCTCTCTACAAGGTGGTGAGGCAAAGTGTTGCCATTTTCAGTAACCCATCAGGTACCAGGGCCACTGCTGGCTTCAGCAGAAATTTCCTTTTTGCAAGGTAAACAGGTCACTACTCTGGCTCCTTGTCCCTCTGCATGGCAGATCTTCCAGTTTAATTAGCCACAGGGACAGGTTCCCACTTGAAATTTGGCCAGTGCTTCTAAAAAGTCTGGAGCTGTAGGTTGAAGCTGGAATAGGTGACTGTAACCTCTTGCTGTTTTGGCCCTCCATTTTTGTTTGAAGGATATTCTGCTCTCTGTCAGCTACCTGTAGGCCTTCGGCTGTTTACAGAGTGGCTCACATAAGAGCATGCTTTTCCCAGGACTGCCATCATGGCCATCTATTTAGTCAGCTCCCTCAATGTCCCAAAGGCAGGGCTGGGCTTCCATGCAGCTTCTGCAAAACGTGCCATTTCCTAGGGTGCTCATCCTCGGCAGTTGTCAGCTAATGCCTGGAAGATGGGGGGCGTCTACCCTTGAGAGGATAAGGGTCATGAAGATTCTTGTCCTCTGGACCTTTCTGGGGTACTTCCAAGATTCTCAGGGTCCCCTGTAGCCCCCTTTTCTTTTAAAGCTGTGGCCAGCTCTACTCTGCTACTGTGACTTACTATCCTTCCCGCTCCTCTTAAGCTCTAGGTTTTCAGTGCCCCTCCCAGATGCCAAACCAGTAGTTTGATCACTACACTGGCCTTGGAGTTATTCAGTGGGCACTGGAGAGGAGCCCACTGAAGCCTTTTTTAGTTCTTTGTGCTCAACCATCAACTACGCTGGCACCACACTTGCCCAAGAGTTGATTAGAAATATTCACCTAGCTGAACACTCGAGTAGGTGACTAGCATTCAACATTGGCCTTTTTCCTTCTAGCCAATGCATTCCATGGAGTGTAACACCCCCAACCCAGACAGCACCTACACAAAGTTGCACAGATGACATCACACAGGAAGGTTGGCTGAGGGACTCATCAAACCCTGGTGTTATCTTACAAAGATTTTTCTTTTATGTGTGTGAATGTTTTGCCTAAGTGTGGGGCCCCTGGAAGGCAGAAGAGATCATTGAACCTTGGACTGCAGGCATTTGTGAGCCTTCTGTGGGTGCTGGAAACAAAAGCCCCAAAGGCCTGAGTCCTGTCCAAGAACAGCAATAGCTCTTAACTGTGGCACCATGGCTCCAGCTTCCTGTTCTTTCAACTTTTTGTGGAGGATCACTACACATAACCCTGCACAGACACCCTTCTGTCTAGAAGCCCTTGTTTCTGCAAGGTGGTGGACATGGGAAGGGCCATGTTGTTCCATTTGCCTTAAAGGGCACAGACTTAGCCTTCCTGTATGGCCAAGTTCCTGAGACTTCTCGAGTTTTGGAACTTTAATAGATCTGCTCTTGTCTCCATTTGTGTGTCTCTTAAAAGATAAACTTTCTGTTGTTTGAGGGGTTTTTTGTTTATTTTTATTTTATTTTTTGTTATGAGATGGGGTCTTTCTTTGTAGCCACAGCTGTTCTAGAACTCCCTGTTTACCAGGCTGGCCTCAAACTAACAGATCCTCATGCCTGTGCTCAGGCCTCAGGAGCACTGGGAATAAAAGCAGGTGCTGCCACAACCAACTAAAATTAAACTTTTAGATCTGGGGGGTTTCCTATCCTGCTGAGGAAAATTGCTTTCTCCCCAGACCTGCCTCCACAAATCTTCATTTTGTTGCAATGGTTATTTTTATTTTAATCAGTTTCCATGGAATGTTTTAGTATAAACAGTAAAGGCAAGAGCCAAGCTTTATCCCTAGGAGGAAATACACTTATATTATGTTTAAAAAATAATTGCATTGGGCTGGAGGTTAAGAGCACTGACTGCTCTTCCAGAGGTCCTGAGTTCAATTCCCAGCAACCACATGGTGGCTCACAACCATCTACAATTCAATCTGGTGCCCTCTTCTGGCAGAACACTGTATGTGTAATAAATGAATAAATCTTTTTAAAAAATAAAATAAAATAATTGCATTAAATTTAAATGTTTTGAGAGTGTTGACATAATAGTAAGCTCCCAGGAGTATGCAAAATAGTTTTCCATTTGTTGATGAATTTTTAGGGATTTGGAGAGATGGCTCATTGGTTAAGGGCACTTCTTTGCCCAGAGGTTCCCAGCACCCATGTCAAGTGGCTGACACCTGTCTGTAACTAGTTCCAAGGGATTTCTTCTGACCATGCACACACAATTTTAAAAATCTAGTATGTTTTAGATTATCCAGTAGGGTTTTATAATTTCCTTGTAGGGGTTCTATAATTTTCTGACTAAATAATCCTTAATAATTTCTTTACCCAGCTTTAATAGGTTTCTGGCTAAATTTATTTCCTATTTATGGCCTTTGTCACTACTCCAATAGAATACCTTTCCCCATTTCTAGTATGTACTAGCTATTAATATGAAGGAAGTCAGTAGTCCGTGAGTATATGGAATTTATTTCTATTTATGAACTGATAGTTGTAAAAGCTTGTTTCGTTTTGTTATTGTTTGTTTTTTTGGGGGGGGTGGGTTCAAGAGAGGGTTTCTCTGTGTAGCTTTGGAGCTTGTCCTGGAACAGGGTCTGTAGACCAGGCTGGCCACAAACTCACAGAGATCGACCTGTCACTGCCTCCCAAGTGCTGGGATTAAAGGAATGCACCACCACCTCTCAGCTAGAAGCTTGTTTTTAAGGTGCTTCCTCAAGCACTCTATCACCAAACTATGTCTCCAACTATCAGTGCCCCTCCCCTTTTTTAAACTTTTGTTTCAAAATAATCTAAGTTGTCAAGATGTCCTTTAATTTATTTGAATTTGAGATCCTACTACTTCTGCCTCTTCAGGGGCTAAGATTATAGACTTGGGCCACTAGGAGTGGCTCTTTTTTTTTGCTTGTCTCCCTATAATGTTATTAGCATATATTATGCATAGTAAAATAGGTTTCATTATAACATCTTCATATATGATATATTTTGATCATATTTACCCTATCACTCTCTCTTGTTCCAATTCATGCTTGCTAATCATTTCCTCTTCCCAACTAGCCCTACTCCTGTGTGTGTGCGCGTGCGTGCGTGCGTGCGTGCGTGCGTGCGTGCGTGTGTGTGTGTGTGTGTGTGTGTGTGTGTGTGTGTGTGTGTGTCCAATGAGGTTCATTAGGGTTGTTTACAGGAGCATGGGCACCTTACCAGTAGCTACACCACTGAAGAAAATGCCTTTCTTCCCATCAGCCATTAATTGCCTGTAAGTCTTCAGGGAGCAGTGGACTCCCATAAGCTATTCTTCCCTTCCCAGGAAAGGAGACTGACAACCCCAGTCTTGTGGAAATCATGTGCAGTCCTCATGG